AAATGACATCTTATTCAGACTGGATTTATGCCTGTAGGGGAGGGGGAGGGGTGATTTCAACATTACCTGCTCTGGTAAGTGATTGGTGGATGTGGGAAATATATCAGCCCCACTCCAGTAATAATTATAGCCACAATGACCTACTGGTCCTCCTGTAATTTAAAGCCCATCCAGAGTGATGTCCTTGTATTTGAAAGTGGATCTCTTGAGCAAGAGCTGCTTTTGCTTTTACTTTACATATTTACAAATCACCTTGGTGTGAAATTTGACTTTTGTGTGAAAATTGAGGACGTCAAAAATGTTATCGCTAACCTGATAGATGGAAACATGATAACACCAATTTATAGGCCTTGCTGGGAACCAATATGATTTTGAGCTCTGTGTTTTTTAACCTTATATTTTGGCAGCTTGGCGCCATTAAAAGTGAATTAGCTACTAGCTGTTTGCAGAAGACCCACTGGATGTACAGACAACCATCACTTTGATACAAAAAACACTTAGAAACCTGATGATTCTCAGGCATGTTCTGCAAGATACAGGAACATCTTTTTGTATGATTTCTAAGCAGATTTATGGACCTTTATTTGTGATGGACATATCCTCGGGACACGTAACTCACACTGAATGATATCAATATATGTTTCCTGACTTAGTGATCAGGTTTGACTGAGTTATGACTCTGACAGGGAGTGTGACTTTTGTCCTGCTGAATGTCCATGTCTATCACAAACCATTTTCTGTAATTTCACCATGGTTAAAATGGCGTCTTGAATGATTGGTTAAATCACCAAAGAGCACAGTGAATGTTTCACTCCCCACCTCCCCTCTGATGTTAATCCAGTTGGAATGGGGCTTTTGAAAGTAAAGACATGACATCTTGAGGCAATATCATGTTAGGAGGAAAGTAATGTTCTCAGGCTCCCTGTGTAACTATGGCAACCGCTGTGGAGCAGTGGTCACCTGATGATTGTGTCATTCACCTGTATCATTAACTCAGCCTTCTCCGATGGAAAGACCTTGAGTCTGTTTGACTGATCCTTAAACCCTGTGTCCATGCTGCATTACAACACGGACTGATTGCAAAAGGACAATGGGTGTGTCTTCGCTGACATAGTGACCCATACGGATGCCCATGATGGACAAAGCTATGTTGGACTTCATTATGACAAAAGCAATGTCCTGCCATGGAGAGGACGTGATGGAGTGGACAGATGTTTCAAACTGATTGGCAGCTGGATATTTTCTGGACTGCTGGACGTCTTGGTACTCAGTTTGGCAACCAATGTGCACAAGATTGGATTCACACACGGATGGATAACCACGATCCAATCTTCCTTTTCTAAACCTCTGTGGGTAAATTCACAGACATAGAAATCTGGTTTTGCGCCGATCCAGACTTTGGAGCAGTCCAGGAGATTCTCTGATGATGTCTTTGATTCATCTCAGACTGAGGTCTAAAACACGACCTTGTTCGATTGAATCCAGGCAAAATTTGCGCCTGTGGACTGAGAGTTCGTCGAGGCTGAAGGACCTCCTTGAGAAAGCTCAAAGGTGACACCGAGCCGTTGATGTTGTGGTTGATGTTGTGGTTGATGGTGTTTTTTGTTTACTGAACTAATAAGGTTATATATCTCCATGGTTACAGAGTGCCATTTCTACTTGACAACTGTTACTACTTAGCATTAGATAGAGTTGTTCCCGCTCTGTGTGGGTGTGAACTTTCAACCAGAATGACTGGAGAAATTTTGTCAGAAATCTGTCTGTAGCTCGGGTTCCCAAAGGCTCTCAGCTCTCGGATCAGCCTCATGAAGGGAATGCAGCTGGTTTTGATGCGACATCTGTCACTTCATTCAGGATTTTTATCTAAATGATCTCACAGCACCGGTTGACGGCGTCTGTAAGGGTCAAAACAGAATGAAACTGTAGTAGAAGCCGACAAGGTAGGTCGGGACAACTTCAGCAGAATTCCTGGAGTCACAAAGTGAGGGTGAGTTCCTACATAGCTTAATAGGTTCTGCAAGGCACCAGCATTGCCAAGGTTGGGGGTTCACCTCCCACTGAAGTTTGTGACACTCAAGATATCGATACTCATTGGGCTGTGAGGCATTTAGGGGTTAAATCTTCAACCTAATGATAAAGCTGAGATGATCTCCCTGTACGCGAGGCTGATATCAGGGCCGAGCTCACTTTTGGAAACCCGTTATTTCCCTCTTTTTGTTGAGTTTTTGTAGTTTTTCATCAAATGTCGGTGGACGAAAACATTGAACAACAGTCCTCTCTCGGAGTTTCACACTGACTGGATTCACACTGACAGGTCAGATTTGGTTTCAACCCAAAATTGACCCCAGTATGATTGCTTAAAAGCTATAATTGATTACTTGACTACCTTTAGTCCTCAGGTTACCTTTGAAATTCTTAAAGTAAAGGTTCCAGACTTCTTTAGAAACTTTGGCTGCAAATAAAGTTTAGTTTATCAACCTCTACCAGTGATCAGCTCCACTAGTCAAGGTTCCCTCCAGTATAGCTAGGTAGAAATAATTTATTTTACATTGTTGTTACTGTCAACTTTTACGGTGGAATGTTTTCTTGCGTGTTTCTTAATGTATGAGGTTGACAGTGTTTGACACTTAAGTGGTGACTGGATCTTCAAGTGCTTGAATAAGTGTTCATGAATTTCAACTGCATTATGAGAACTGCGAATATTCTACTTCCTCACTTGGAAATAGAATTATATAAGAATGTTCTGGATCTGCATCTAAAAGACTCAAGATTACAATCTTTACGTATTACACACTTTATCATCCGACTGTCAACACTAACTGACCCAGACTGGAACAGATTCAGTCCAACATGATGCCTCGGCTCAACATTCATAATGGGTGATCCCACCTTCAACTCTGTGGTAACTCAAATTATGTCCTTGTCTTCTCACCACGATATCTGCCCCCCATTGGTGATCTGATTGTACTGTGAAGCAGTATGCTAACTTAGTCACAAAGGTCAGTGACTGAAGACTACATCTGGGCATTTTTCTGCAATGCAGTCATCAGATTGTTGGGGAGGGATGGGAGGAAATATACAAGTCAGCTGAGTAGAAGAAGAGGTGGAGCCTGCAGGTATTTAGTGCACCTTGGGTGAATTTCAGACACATTATCATTGGCAGGTGAAAAGCAACAGCTTATGTGGAAATAACAGCATCACAAGTTCTGATTATGGTTGCTAATGGTGCATCACTTTGCAGGTATCCAGGCTATAAATGGAAATCCATCATTAGACCCAATGCAAGAGCTGTTTGGAGAGATCCGAAAGGTGTGTGTTTTTTTTAGAAGCTGTCAACATCATCAGTTTGGGCATCATGTGAACCTTAGTTCTGAGAGAGAGGGCTGAGGAGACTATAAGGTGAGGATGAGGTGGTTCCATTAATATGAAAAAACCCACTTTGATTCAGAAGCCCAACAAAATAAAGGTTAAGGCTTCAAGTTTCAACAGAAGCTGAAACATCTAAAGTTTTTTTTGAGATTCCTAGATATTGTCACATCAGTCTAATCTGGGTAACCAGTCATTCAGAGTGCTGTCCTGTAAAACCTGCACTGACCCTGAAACGTGAACCCAGTCAACGTTTTTGACAACTCTGGCTTTTGGCCTCATTCAATTTTTACCATTTTGGACCCTTTGATCAACTTTCACTTGTTCTATGAGGAGATTTGAAGCAGCGCCACCAGTGTTGTTTGACAAAATGATTTAATTTACTAAAACTTAAAGTATGTTCCTTCTCTCGTAGGAGCCCCTCCCTCTGTCTAAAGAATGTTTTCTCGTTATCTCTTCTCTTCTGTCCTTCCTTTTTGCATGAGGTTTCTGTCGGAGGAGTCGAAGGAAGCAGAGAAAAGATCAGTCTTTAAAATCCCTTAATATTACGATGATAATGATGCTAATTATTAGTATTATCTAATTAATAGTGAGTGTGTATGTGTGGATGTACGTATGTGTGTGACCTAACTAAACCAGCCTGTTCTAACAATGTGTGAAGATATACTGAATAAAACTGTCAAATCTACCACCTGTCTGTCTGCAGTCATCCAATACACCATCACCATACTGAAGATCAATCTTTATTTATTGATTAAAACACAATGATAATGTCAAATTACAGTCTGCCTGGGCCACACTCGAGCTCTGTCAAATCAATCATAATTCATTTTTAATTAGAAATGTTTATTTCGAATAACAATTTCAGAGGGAATAAAAACATCCTCTTTTATTCATTAAACATTAAGTGGCTTTAATTTTTAAAGCTCAGTTTAATTATACTTTGATTTTTTTCCGATTGTACTTTAATCAGCTTTTGAAATTAGTCAAGCATAGCATTAGCAGGTAGCTGCTATAGCACAGTGTTGGTATAGTTGGAGCAGTTAGATTAGCATTAGCATTTTTTATGTAATCAAGTAGTTCAGATTTACAATGCTGTGTACTAATCGATATTATCTAATCCGAAAAATGGTGTTTACACTGAATAGTAAAGATTTTATAGAAGCAATTTTGGTAACTTTGTACATCTTTGGCAAAATTTTATATACTTCACTTGAAGGAATGAGGCTCACAAACATTTGAAGCCCTAATTATTACAACCTATTATAAACTACTTTAATGGTGGAAAACTGACGATATTTTAATTTTTGATTTCTTTCACTTTATTGTCACAGGAGTGTTTTAATATTTACTTCTGCAAAATTTTAACAAAGCGACAAAAATTTTAGCGTAATGTTTCTTTCTTCTGCCATTTATTTTGACTTTTACCCTGTCCTTTTTTATTTTATTTTTTTTAAGTATATTTTTTTGGGGCTTTTTATGCCTTTATTTGATAGTGCAGTAGAGAGAGACAGGAAATGGGGAGGCAGAGAGAGGGGGAATGACATGCAGCAAAGGCCTGCAGCGAGGACTGTAGCCTCTACACATGGGGCGCCTGCTTAGACCACTACGCCACACGACGCTCCAGTCCTTTTTTATTTTGCTTCGCTCTCCCACCCCGCCCTTGGAGTGACAACAACGGTATAAGGTAATGGCTGCAAGACCACACCTAGCCGCCCCTGCAGGTTGGGCGGGGGGGCCCCGTCTGGCAGCCTGAAGCTCATTCGCTGGAGTAGAGAGGACAAGAAGAGAAAGAGCTCCAGCCTGGCCAATGATTCGCCGACACAGACCCGAGGTCCCGCCCCGAACGGCAAAAAGAAGGGGGGTGTGACTCGCTGGCCCCGATCGTCAAGGAAACGATCTGGAAATGCAGGGAAAGGCAAAGTTGGTGTGTTTGGCTACTGATTAGAAAGCTTGTAAAGTTAAATGTTTGTATGTTTGTATGTTTGTGTGTTTGTGCATTTACCTGGGTTGAAAAGGTCGGGTTTATCCCAGTGTCGGGGGTCGTGGTGAATCGACCACATGTTGACCAAAACACGAGTCCCACAACTTACAGAGTGACCTCCAATGCTACAGGAAAGAAAGAGAGATGGATCGAATTTTAGTCTATGTAATCTGGATCCAACTACTGATTATGTTCATTATTGATTAGTCTGTTATTTACTCATTTAATCGATTATGAGTTTGTCTGTCACTGAAAACCACACATTATAATTTCCGATGCAAATAACAGAAGAAGTTTAAATACTTTAGAAACAGGAGGAATAAAACGCCAGAATAGATCAGACTGTGGACTACAGGCAGCACAGACGCTGCAATGACATCCGAACTTTCACTAAATCTCAATCTCTCATCAAACACCGTTCTGAGTGTTTGTAGCTCTGAGCCTGATGTTTGTGGCTGTGCTGCATGGCTTCCACCACCAGGTGGTGCCGTCGAGTACGTTGAGCGAGTTTTGAAGCAGAAGTAGTAGAATAAGAGTAGAAACATAAAATCACTGCAGGTGAAACCACATCCCAGCGTCCACCTGAGACTCTGGATGCAACAAAAGCATAAAATCCTCATGTTAGAGAAGCTGGACCCAGGAAATGTTCTAAGAACTATTGAAAGGATTAGTTCATTATCAAAATAATTATCAATTAATTTTCTGTTAATCGTCAGCTCTAGTATTTGAGTGCAGGTCTACCTGCTGTGGGTCATGGCAGTGTGTGGGATCAGTACGGGGCTGACCGGTCGGATCCTCATGCCCTCGTTGATGACACAATCCAGGTACGGCAACCGGCCGCGGTCCGACATGCAGACTGCTCGCTCGCTGCCAACGTGCTCGTCCAGCTCCTTCTGCACGCGATCCTGGACCTGGGACCCAGGGACCATGATAATGGTTTATACTCAAGAACTACAGAAGTGCATTGAAATGTTTTCTGATTATAAAATCAGTTTTTCAAATCAATTTTTTGAGGATACTTAAAGAAAATTGTTTTAGTCTGTGGCTAAATTTCCTGCCCCAGTATTTGCAGCAGATGTTCAAGCAGGTGTTAGCTTCATCATCATCAGTATCAGTGGCGTTTTCACCTCGGGGTGGTGCAGCAGGTACGCCAGGATCCACAGCAGTGTGGTGGATGTCGTCTCTACTCCAGCTCCAAATGCCTCAGCCGCTGTCATCAGGACGTGGTCGTCCGTTATCCCCTCATCCTCTGGTCCAGATGACCTTTGACCCCGCCCGCTGCCTGTCTGGCCCTTCAGCAAGGCATCCAGGAGGTCTCGGGGCTCACCGTCACTCAGTGATGCCTGGACATGAGCCAAAGAGGAAGTGCAGATTTGTACTTTAGGTCAAACTTTTTACATAAATTTTGTGACAGCAGAAGAGAAATGTCCTCTCAGCTCCTGACGACGAGACCTTTGTGAGGACTAGTATTCGAAGCCTTCTATGAGTTTGTACGTTACCTTGTGCTCCTCCAGTTTGCACGTCAGCAGTCGGTCTCTGACAGTGATACAGTCCTTCAGTTTACTCAGAGACTTGTTAGGAAAGACCTGAGGGACAGATACAGATTGTCAGTGTTTGTGTGCTCTGTACTTCTATCTTTGTAAGGTCCAATTACAGTTTTAGACCTTGAAAGTGAGGTGAGTTTGACAAGTCTTAGAGCTGTACGAAGGTAACAGGACTTTCTTGAGGTTCTTCTTCCTATCTGAAAGGCTTCTTCAGCTCTAACTGATTAATGGCGAGTTCCAGGCATTTAATGTCTTGTGTGGTCATTAACACCTTGAGAGCTGTTGAGGTGAGTTGTTGCACGACTCTCGCAAAAACTCACATGACGGCCGGGAAGAACCTCGAAGAGGTCCAGTTTTAGTTTAGAATGAGGTTTATGTGAGTGTACCTTCATCCAGGGGTAAATGTCCACCAGTCCTCCCCTGGCGATCGTCTGCACGATGCCATCGTTGTATCGGATCACCTCTTGCAGCTCTGCGTCGCCATGGCGATAGGTGGAACTGAACACCAGTGTGCACACAACATTGGTGACGGCCCTGGTCACCGCGGGAGACGGGTCGAAGCCGCGCTTCCCCCCGGACAACAACTCGACACACAGGCTGTCCACCGAGGACAGAACTGGAGAGGGAGAAACGTCATGAAACATCAATATGACGAGTTTTTACTGTAAAGCAGCTGCAGGAATAACGATGCACACGGCAACACGGGGTCAGCTGCTGATAAAAGTGGGTCTCATTTTTGTGTTGTATATTTTTCTCTGCTTTTTTCCTGAGGATTATCATTTGAATACTTTGCCTGTGAACCATTTCCCACCAAATAAATGAAGAACTGTGGCAACATCAACTGTCTGCGGTAGGTTCATACAACAGGTAATCAAACCGCTGATATGTCATGTTATGTTGGTTAGAGCACAAAGTTTCACTGAAATGTCCACACCTGTCCAACCAAACGTTTTCACGTGTTTCTTGCTGCAGAAAATGCAGACCAGTTATATACATACATATTTTTTTAAATTCATTCAACATTAGCTTCTTTTAGAATAATAAAAATAATTGTATTATTAATCATTTTATTTTTAAAAATAGAAATAATGAGCCTGGCCATCAGTCTAAACTACAAATGTCATTTTGTTTCCACATACACACATAAAAAAAAAATCGTCTACAAATATAAACAACAAAAGAGCTCCTTTCTCTGTTTTACATATTTGAGCAGGCTCTGTTACATCTTGCTGTTAATGAGTGTATTGTTTTTTAAAATAAAACAAAATTAAGAGGGGCATTCAGAGACAGCAGACCTCTGCCAAGGCCAATGTCAAACAACAAACCATACTTCAGAGAAAAAATCTAAAATTCATAATAAATGATCCGGATCGGCCCCATAATTTAATAGGTTATTCTCTGGTCCATGATCCATCCCTCCACCAAGTTCGGTGCAAATCGGTTCTATACTTTGTGCGTAATCCTAACATAACTCCCGGGCGGAAGTAACAAAAACTCTGGCTCCGTGTCGGGCACGCCCACCAATTCACCCGCGCAATTTAAACCACGCCCACCAAACACAGCGGCGGTTCCAGTCAAAATGGCGCCAGCGCTGCTCACCTGTCGTAAAAATATTCGGTTTCTCAGAGTAATAAACATTGTTGCTAACCTACCGACCCTTGAGCTAAGCTAGCAGCAGTCTCACCGTCCGGACACCGACGGTTGAAAACACACCACCGGCTTTATCGTCCACAGAGGCCGCCATTAGACAGAAAGCATCATGGTGCCGGAAACTGAGTCAGGTAAACACCGATAATCAGACAAAGATGGTTTATTGGGAAGAGGCCTCACTTTCCCTTAGTTCTGCTGTAATTGATATGGCCGAGCTGTTTGTTTGGTTTATCTTTTATAATCACCAATTATTCCTTAATTAATTTACCCCTGAAATCCTCCTAAGCAAACAAAGTGCATTTATTAAAATACTGAACTTAGAGTTTTACTTTACTCGAGTGTTACTATTGTAATAAACCTCATTAATATGTAGCGTACCGATATCCTGCAGTCGACTGGTTCCCTCTCCAAACAGGGTGAAGGAGTTGTGGACGAGGCGGCGGTGTAACTTCCAGAGAGGAGAGTAGTCAGCGAATGCGATGTCTTTACCTCCTCTGGTCAACAGGTTGGTGGTCACCTGCAGAGCGGAAGTGAATGTTGGAGGGAAACCTGTTCACTGCATCAGAAACAATCACATGACTTTACATTGGAAGGTTTGTTAATTTTATATTAAACAGTTACATTAAGATTTCTACAAAACTAAATCCAACCTGTTATTCAATGATAAATGTTATAAGGTTATTATAAGGTTATATGCTTCATCTGACTTAGATTTTATTTATTAATTCATGTGTATGTCAGTTCAGATCGGATCTTTATTGTCCCACAAGAAGAATTAATAATTCTCATAATTATAATTATGAGAATTATTTCGTCAATTCAGAAAAACAGGATTTGTTTGAGAAAAGTTTTCTTTTAAAAAAAAAAAATCCTGCTGTTTTTCTGAATTAACAAAATCTAATTCTGAGATATGATCTCATTAATTCAGAAAAACAGAGCAGGTTATTTTTTTGTTAAGTGAATAAATTACACTTCTGTAGCATGAAGACACAATAAGTCATTAAAGGAGCTGCAGGGTATCTTAGGTTTGGGGAATAAAAACATGTTTTAAATTATTATTTTTTCACTCAACAGTATATATCAATTACAGGGTAAATTAAAGCATGAAATATGATTAAGAGTTTGAAAAGTTTCCTGGTTTAGATCAATAAATATCTGTTCAATATGTAAACGAGGCTCAGAATCAGAAACTACAATTCAGGGTCATAATGTTCAGTCGGGTTCATCCTCCAGTAAATTTAATGGGAAGCAGATCATTTTTGTCAGTCAATCTATTGATTATTTTATTGATTTATCCGTTATCGTTAATTAATATGGCATTATAAATACACATCAGAAGAACTGAGAGCCCAATGAGACAACAACAATCTACGACCCAAACGTTTTCACTTCACTGTCCCAGAGGAAGAGAACCAGGAAATATTTGACACTTTTGCTGATTATCAAAGTACATGCAGATTAATTTTCTGTTGATTAGCAAATTGATTAATCGACTATTGGTTTCCATTGTATTTTGATGTGTCACCATGCTCGGTCGTCCTGCGAAGTCCCTCCCTCTCTGCAGCAGCACCTCTCTGGCGTGTTGATGGTCGTTAATCACCACGGTGTAGTGAGGGCCGAGGTGGAGGGCAAACAGAGACCCGTACCTGCCACACACACACACACACACACACACACACACACACACACACACACACACACACACACACACACACACACAGATGTCAGTGAACAGTGAAAAACGTCTGTTACAGTCAAAGTCTTAGTCTAAGTTTAGATTCAGTTCAAAATCACAGAGTGAAAACGAGAAGCTGGAACCAGAGAATTCAGTGATTAATCAATCATCAAATCAGCTGCTGATTCTATTAACGGACTGATTGTGAAATAGATAAAAGACTACGACACAAAATCAAACTCAAACTTCATAACTAGCACTTTCAAACAGGTTCTTTTAAACACGAGGACTCTTTCTACCTAGATCTTCCAGGATCAGAAACTTCCTCACCTTCGGGCGAGCTGGGAGAAGAGGAGGTGCGGGGGGAGGCCTCCTCCTCCCAGCCAGGGGAGGCTGCCCAGGACGGGGAGCCGAGGCAGGCAGGGGATGGAGTCCCGAGCCGGGGGAGGACAGGACGAAGGTTTGGCTTCAGGCACGGAGCGACGTGTGATCAGGAACAGGACGACGGCCGCGGTGACGAAGAGGACGAGGAGGAAGAGTGGAGAGAAGGAGGAGGAGGAGGGAGAGAGGGAGAGGAAGGAAGGAAGAGAGGAGAGGAGACATGTGAACATGGCTGACCCAGGAGAGAATGAAGAGAGACACTGGAAGTCCTGGATTTAATCTCAGGGAGGAACCTTGGAGAGGTCAGAGGTCGTGTGTGTGTGTGTGTTGTTATTAGTACTAATGTGTGTGTGGCCTCACCATAGCCGTGTGTGTGTGTTTATCTTGGTCAAACGGCCTTGATGTTATCAGGCTGCAGCTGCGACCACGTCAGGTCTCCTTCACCACATCATCATCATCATCATCATCATGTGTGGTCACATTACTTTATATAATTACAGCTGTGTTTACACAGGAAGAAGGTTTTACATTTTTTTATCAGAGGGACAAAAGAAACAGTTGTGAGCACTTCCTCTGTATTTCTGCGCTGACGCATAAAGAGACTGACTCTGCTGAAACTTTACTGTGTTGATGCAACTTACCTGAAACCAGGTATGTATCATGTTTGTTTCTCTGATTTTAAACAGCTCCAGTAACAACAGGTCGGTGAGCCAATCAGAAGAGAGGAGGAGGTTTGGATGGTGGGTCCAGGTGGGCGGGGCTTGGTGACTGCTTTGTTGTGACATCACAAAGTTCCAGAAGTCCTGACGGCTGGTTTTAAGGCTCAGTTTCTGAATACAGGCTGTGTGCATTTCTCTGTGGACTGAGGCTTTGATACTTTCACAGTATTAATATAGAAGCTAGACCTGATCTATAATCACACTACACATGGACACAGACCTTTACACTGGAGGAGCTTTAAATTGTTGGTATTTTCCGCTTGTTTTCGCTCTGTCCTCTGAACGACAGATCGACTGACTGGTTCATCTGACAGATATAAAGTGTGAATCAGTGGCTGCAGATGACAGAAGCCGGAGGCCAGAGAGCTTGTGACGCCACAAGGCTTCGAACACAGTAATGTGGCTCTGATACAGGGAGTGTGTGTGGTCTCTGTAACAGGTGGAGGGAACAGAAGGTGGCACAGCGCCATGGCAACAGTCTCTCTTCTCTCGCCCACACACATATACATGTGTGTGTGTGTGTGTGTGTGTGTGTGTGTGTGTATATATATATATATATATATATATATATGTACACTTCCATCATCTTTGCTTCTTGATTTAGTCTTTTCACACGTTCATGTGGGAGAGGTTTCTCTCTTATCTGCGTCGTCATCCATTATGGTCACCTGATTGTTCAGATCACAGCCTTGCCCCCTGATTGGTCACATGTTGTGATGATTGGTCTGAGACAAACATGTCCGACGCTATTTTTGTCAGTCTGGGCGCAAACACAAATGTAAGTGGCGTCTGAACACAGGTGGAGCTGGTGCTGGGTTCAATGAGGGCCGGTTATGAGGCCGTTGGTCCCTGGGCACTGAAATGTTAAAGGCCCCCTCCTCACTGTGCAGGAGCAAGACGGCCAGTTGGAAAAGATATGTCATTGTGGTGTTTTTATGCCTCTGCTCCAGCAGCCATTTTGTTTTTGGGTCGTCCGTCTGTCCGTTCCATTCTTGTGGAAACGATATCTCAGTAATGCCTCGACAAAATTTCTTTAAATTTGGTACAAACGTTCACCTGGACTCAAGGACAAACTGATTGGATTTTGGTGGTCAAAGTTCAAGGTCAGTGTGACCTCACAAAACACTTTTTAGCCATTACTCAGCACTTCACAGCAATTATGAAAAAAATTTCACACTAATGGTTCATATTTTATCTGCCTCTGGATAAACAGGGATGTTACCTGAAACTAGTCTGAGTGGCGGAGGCAGTGATTCTGGTCGGTTATTTGTTTCTCTTTGTGGTTGTTTTATCTTTATTTCTGTGACATTTTGAAGGTGAAGTCAGGGGCCCCTCTGGTCCCTTTGGGGCCCTGGACCTGTGTTTGGTAGATCCATCTAGTTTCAATACTGACCAATAAACTCTCTGGACTACCAGCCTGTCCTGACATTGATGGCACTTTAAATCTTTAACTTAAAACAAACTTATTTTCTTGTCCAGAACACTCCAACATACAAAATAAACCACTGCAGTTCCTCTCCTGGCCAGTAGGTGGCAACGCTACAGAAGAACATTAACTGTATTCAAATAAATGTAAACAATTCTCTGTTGAGCTAAAAATGAAAGGTTTTTGTATAAAGAACTTTGGATTTTAGTTGTTGACTTGCTATTAGCTTAAAATTTTCATTGACTTCAATGTGCTTAAAAAAGTGTTGTTGCTGTTGTTCTTGTTGTTGCTGTTGTTGCTGTGTGGCTCTAGGCAACATCTGTCGTCTACGATTTTTTTGGTCCTGACTGAAATATCTAAACAGCTATGAGATGGATTGCAATCTGAACTGTTCTGCAGACGTTCATGGTCCCCAGAGGATGAACCCTACTGACTTCAATGATCCCTTGACTTTTCCTACAGCGCCACCATGAGGTTGACTTTTTAATGTGAAATATCATAACTATTATTGGATGGATTGTGATAAAAATTTGTTTCAGACGTTCATGTTCCCCTGTGGTTGAATTTTAATCACTTTGGTGATTCTCTGCCATCATCAGATCAACATTTTTATTCGTCAAATACTTTGTTTTTATGAGCAAATACCTTCAAAACTAATGACATTCCCATCAGCCTCAGCTCCACTTTTGTTTACAGGTTAAACGTCAGCTTGGTAGCATGGTTGTTCACATGCTAATAGTTTTTAACACAAATGTGCCTATTTATAGCGCATTATACCAAAGAAAACATTTCTCAAAGATTAGAGAAAAGCCCAAAAACTGTAAACAGATTAATGAATCACAACTTAGATTTATCTGGTGAGCTGTTGGAGGGGCCAGACCCTCAGGTTGGGAACCACTGGACTAAAACAGCTAACTGTATATAAAGTAGTTAAAACCTGTAGCATCAATTTTTAATACTTGAAGTTAACATTTAGCATCAAAACAACCTTTTACTTTAACATTTAGCTGATGATGCCTCTTGACTTTAGAAGGACCTTTACTTGTGATGGAGTATTTTTATGTTGTGGTAGCAGAACTTTTACTTAAGAAAAGGATCTGAGTACTTCTTCCACCGAGTGAAGTAAAAGTATACACGGAAATACTTAAGTAAAGTACAAGTATCTCAAAACTGTACTTAATCAAACACTTCAAACATCACTTTAGGAGAAATTCCAATTAAATAAAACTGACTGTAAAAGCTCCAGTGACGACATGAAATAGATTTGAACTTTAAACTTCATGTTTCTTGTGACTAACATGTTCGTTAATGTTCAGGTGTGGAAACGTCTCCGTCATTATCGCAGCTGAGCTTCTGCTGTGGACGCACACGTGTGATTCATGTCAGAATCAGCAACAACAACAACATTAAAAATATAAATTCAAATTAAAACGAAAGGTAAACCCCGCAGCTTCTATTCCTGACTCCATTTTACATAACGCCTGCGCTGAATCTCTCCCCCGTTGCCATGGCGACAGCGTCACGGCGATGTGCAGGAATGTCATATGTGGGGCAGTAATATGTGATAATCTATCTTCCTCCCTCCCTCCCTCTCCTCCTTCTCTCCCTCTCTCTCTCTCTTTTCTCTCGGTGTCTCTCGCCCTCTCTGCAGCACTGCAGAGCTGTCCGTGGTGCTGAAACCGGCTCCTCAGTGCGACACAGGTAGGAAACGGACAGAAATCAGATCAATCTCTTGACTGACTGTCTCCGGGTTTATCAGTAACATCAGTCTGACACCTCCCCTTTCATATTTCTGCATTTGGTTTTATTTGCATGAATCTTAAATATCATCAAATGTCTTTAAATGCATTGTCTGCTGATGAGTAATTATCTCTGATTGATTGATCCTTCTCTTCCTCCTTCGTTATACTTAGTCCATGTTTCTATAAACAGTGATATTAAAATTAAAATTAACATAAAATGATCATTAACTTTATCATTTTAACATTCATTCTTAATTTATTCTGGGCTCTAACTCTGTCCCATGTACAGCCATGTCTATTAAAGTGCACAGTCCCTGTGAAATAAACCAATCAATAGATTAATAGATATATGATTGATAAGTGTCACCACAGGTTTAACTTTCAGACAGTGGCAGCGTCACTGTTTTAAAGATACAGAACGTGATATAGAGTTTGTGTTTTTGGTCTGATGTGAACCTCAGACCAGGTCCATGCTTTGATCAGTGATTATCGATCAGTGATTATCAGTGATTATCAGTGATCTGCCTGTGTGGGCAAAACTATCCCAAGAAAACAACTTTAATGAATCTGCTTCTGTTCCTCAATAATCCCTCCATCAGACTCCCTCCATCAGACTCCCTCCATCAGACTCCCTCCATCAGACCTCCATCAGACCTCCATCAGACTCCCTCCATCAGACTCCCTCTATCAGACCTCCATCAGACCTCCATCAGACTCCCTCCATCAGACTCCCTCTATCAGACCTCCATCAGACCTCCATCAGACTCCCTCCATCAGGCCTCCATCAGACTCCCTCCATCAGACCTCCATCAGACTCCCTCCATCACACTCCCTCCATCAGACTCCCTCCATCACACTCCCTCCATCAGACTCCCTCCATCAGACTCCCTCCATCAGACCTCCATCAGACTCCCTCCATCAGACTCCCTCCATCCCTCCATCAAACTCCCTCTGTCACTCCATCAGACCTCCATCCCTCCATTAGACTCCCTCCTTCAGACCTCCATCAGACCTCCATCAGACCTCCATCAGACCTCCATCAGACCTCCATCAGACTCCCTCCATCAGACTCCCATCAGACTCCCTCCTCCCCTCCTTCCCTCCCCCCTGGTTGTATAATCTCTCTCTCTTGCCGCAGTGGAGGAAACCCCTCTCTCCTCTACGTTGTTTTCCCGCCTGTCCTTTTATGGTATGGGGATACCCGCCGTCACAACCGGAAGCAGTCCATGTTTGGGCAGCTGCGAAGCGGCGCGGCGGGGGGAATCCCTCGCGCCGGCTCCGACCAATCAGGCCTTGCCGGGAGTTACCTAGGAGACGGAGAGTATAAAACGGGCGGCGGGCACAGGGAGCTCAACATCTTCAGCTTCACCGACTAACGGAACATCACCGGCGGCTCCTCTAACGGATTAACACCGGCCACAGGGAATCCCCGATACCGCCACTTTATCCAGCCTGACTCTGTAATCAGTCAGGCTCTTTTCGCGCCACGCTTTCACACGCAATAACCTGCAGACACTTTTTCACGTAATGCTTCTGGAGCGCGAGGATAGCTTCATGTCGGAATTTGAGGACGCGTGCAGCGCGTGGGTGGACAGTGTGGGCTCGAGCCCCAGCGACGGGACCGACTCTGACGTGGGGTCACCTTTCTGCCAAGGTGTGTGTGTGTGTTCATCAATAACAAAAAATACAATATCTTATATGTTCAGTGTTTCATTTATTGATTGGTCAAATATCCATCTGTTGCCATAGCTACAATCAACCAGTTATAGCCTACTGATGGGTGATTGATTTTTCTGTGTAGGCTGCTCAGCTGCCCACTGAGCTCATATTATGCAATGACAATAACACCCCCTCCTCCCTCCTCCCTCCTCCCTCCTCTCTCTCTCCAGTTTTCTCTCCGGGAACTGACGCCTCTGACTCAGACTTCTTCTCCGACTTCAGCGACTGCTCCTCGGACACGCTCTCGCCCTCCCTCGGCTACAGCGGCAGCTTCTTCCCAGAGCCGGAGCCGTCACTTGCGGCAGCGGGACTGAGCAGCACCGCGGACGCGATCCTCAACATGATCACCGAGATCGTCGGGATCTGCACCGACATGGAGCAGCAGGGCGACGCCGGCTCTCTCCGCGAGTCCACCCCATCCTCTGCGGCGCCCTCCGCGGCCACTGCCTCTCCCTCGCCGCAGCTCTTCGCTCCAGCTCCCGGCCCTGACATGAGCGTCCCTCCCCTGGCCGCAGCCCAGCAGCTGCCTCCCGCCTCCATCTCACAACCGGTGGTGGTGAAGAGCGAGTTCGTGACTTCCAGCTGCAGCAGCGGCTGCGGACAGTCTTCCATGAGCGGGAACGATGCTCTGTTCCCGGCCAGCGCCGACTCTCTCCTCCCGCTGTCGGCTCTGGAGCAACAGGTGGATGTGGCTGATTTCATCGAGTCTCTGCTGAGCTCCGAGGCCGGCCAGGGCGAGCTGAAGCCCGGCTGTGAGGTGAAGCAGGAGCCGCTGGGGCTGGAGGAGTGGCTGAAGAGCTTACCTGCTGCCCAGGTTACCGGGGGAGATTCTAGCAGCTACGTCATCAGCAGACCGGTAGTCAAGACGGAGCTCGTGCAGAGCGGGAGCGACCTCCACTTTTCCCCCGCCCCCCTCCCCTCCACCCTGGATGCCCATCTCCTCTCCTCCCTCCTGCAGGGCGCGTTCCCGATAGTCAACATCAGTAACGCGCACGCGGCCGGAGCCCCCAAACTGTCCCGCGGGGGCAGGAGAGCTCCCGCCAAGAGCGGCCTGAAGGTGAAGCCGTTCCCGTGCTCCGTGCAGGGCTGTGAGCGCCGCTTCTCGCGCTCGGACGAGCTGAACAGGCACGTGCGCATCCACACGGGCCAGAAGCCCTTCCAGTGCACCATCTGCGCACGCAGCTTCAGCCGCAGCGACCACCTGACCACGCACACGCGCACGCACACCGGAGAGAAGCCCTTCTCGTGCGACGTGTGCGGCAAGCGGTTCGCGCGCAGCGACGAGAGGAAGAGGCACGGGCGCGTGCACGTCAAGCAGCAGCTGAGAGCGCAGATGATGGCCGCCTACTCCCTGGCCCTGAACGCGCCCGGCGTCTAAAACAGCAGCGCGAGCTCCAGTTCCTTTTGGCCGGCGAGGCTGCTGCGGAGGATTTGAACGTCAACCGGAAAGCGTCAGAGTGACGTTTCCATGTGACGTCGCACTGACGGCGATTTTAGCTGAAGCCCCGAAGAAGAAGGAGTGGCAGGTGTTTCCAGGTGTTCAGAGGACTTTAGTCCAGGTCTGAAGGTGCACGTGGACATCAGGGTTCACTGCAGGACTGTGGAGGAGGAGGGTGTGTAGGGGGAGGGGGGGAGGGGGTGAAAGACTTCCTGCCGGGGTTCAGGTCTGATCCTGGACCAACAGGTGGTTTACCTCCTGATCATCACGGTGCTCTGAACTCTTACAGGCTGTTTATTACAAAGCTTCTCTGTCGTGACTCTGAATGTTCCTGTCTCCACTGAGGTGGGCAGGTGGGCAGGTGGACAGGTGGACAGGTGGACTTTAAAGGAGCGGTCCGTCTGAAGGAAAGTTCTGCTGTAACATACGACTTTAGTTCTTGTGCATGAGGATGTGAACAGTGAAGAAACTCTGTGAATGTGACGTCAGAATGTCGTGTTTCGTTGAACTCAGATATTTTTATGTCAAACCTTTATATTTGACAAATGGAGGAGTTCTATGTTTGTGATATAAATCTATTTTTCTAGACGGTTGTCTACCTCTTCCTGTGCCGCTGTTTTACAACCAGAGTGTATATTTGTAGAGGAGGAGTCAGGTTCCTCCTGTGATGTCACTTTTCTATGACATGATTGTAAATCCTCGTCATGGACGCTGAATGAACTTTGTTCTAGAATTTTCATTCTGTCGAGTCGGGCGGGTGGGGCTCGGTGTCCAGGTGTGAAGATCAAACGCACCTGCTCAGTGTGAGCTGAGCTCTCAGTAGCACACATGGCTGTGCAGGTTTATTGTTCCCTCGTTCTGCATGGAGGCTGCTGCTGTCAATAAACAAACAAACAAACTGTATCCGAGAGTCCTGTTTACTCCTTCCTCCTCATCTTCATCATCTTCATCATCACCATCATCGTCATCTTCATCATCACCTCATAAACAAACAAACTGTATCCGAGAGTCCTGTTTACTCCTTCCTCCTTCATCATCACCATCATCATCGTCTTCATCATCTTCATCATCATAAACAAACTAACCAACTAACAGTATCTGAGAGTCCTGTGTATCCTCAGTGTCACCATGATCATCAGAATCAAAGACACTGTGTATTGTTGTCCACCTCATCATCATCACTCTGTATATCACCACCATCATCATCACCACCATCATCATCATCATCATCACCACCATCATCATCGCTCTGTATATCACCACCATCATCATCACCACCATCATCATCATCATCATCACCACCATCATCATCACTCTGGATATCATCACCAGCATCATCTTCATCACAGACTTTTCTGTACTTCCTGTGACATTTATCAACAGGCTGCTGTTGCCAGGCAACAAATGGTCCCATTAGTTCTGTCAGTGTAACAGTTTGTCCAGTTTTATGAACTGTGAAGGCTGCGTTGCCAAGGTAACAGCAGCCCAGAGACTCAAGTTTCCTCCAGTTTTATTTTCACCAGTGAAGACAGACAAATACGGCAGCCATTACTGTGATCTTCATCACTGTCATCTTCATCATCTTTATCACCATCATCTTCATCATCATAAACAAACAGCAGCCATTACTGTCACTGCTGTCATTGATCATCTTAATCTTCTTCATCATCATCTTCATTATAGTCGTCATCATCATCATCATCTTCATCATTTAATGAAAACAAAGTGCTTTAACAGTAACTGTAAACAGTTGTTTACGTCTAAGAGGAATAACATACATCACTGGATGGTTCGAGTCTCAGGAAACCTGGACATCAGTCAACACTTGTCCTGTTCTCTGCAGACTCTTGGCGCCCTCCAGTGGTCACCAGCCAGCACTGCAACTCCTCTAGCTTCTACCACAACAACTCTGAGGAACAAGTAAGTTTTCACTCTAGACTTCTGTCAGCATTTCTGTTTTCTGTCGCTATCATTGAATTGATCGTTGCACAATACAAATTAAATGTAAAAGATAAAAATCTAGCAGCTAAAAGGTTTAAAGGATCGATCCGAACTATCTGTCTGCTGATACAAACCTTTACTTTACTTTTACTTGTAATGGAATATTTTTACTCTGTGTTGTTGGTTTTATACAGTAACAAGTTACCAGTGATGGGAAAGTCACTCAGAATCTTTATTTACATGGAAGGACGAATACCACAATGTAAAATACTGCAATACAAGTAAAATTAAAAAGTATTATCAGCTAAATGAACTACAAGTACTGAAAGTAAAAGTCCTCGTGTAGAAACTCATCTTCTCTGACTGATTACATTATTAATCCAAATGCATCGACGTTCCAGCTGCTTAAATATATATTATATTATTTAGGAAAATAAATACATAGATTAATAATTATTATAATTTATTTTATCATATATGCAAATTATTAATTTAAATCAATATTATTATTAATTAGTAATAACAATAGAACAAATATACCGTGATGTAGTCACGTGCCTTTTTACGCTTTAATTTCGTCCAGATTTATTCTTGAAAGTTTCAAGTTCTTCTCAAAAGCCTAAACCTTTAAATGTAAAATATGATTTAATTGTTGTAATGACGTCGTTACGTAAATTCTGGTCGTTTGTTCTGTGAAAAACCGTCAATGATGTTTCCATGTTATTAATCCGGAACGACAGTTGTTTGTTTTCCCAAGAGGACCATGAAGGTGTAAAACGGAGTTCTTGAGTTTTAGTGTCTCAAAACATGAATTATTAATTAATGAACCAGTCCGCCATCATCTCCACATCAGCTCTGACACGTCACGCGGCTCTTACGTCAGGAGCAGCACGCGGCAGCTGCACGCCGAGACGCCGGGAGGGGACGGTGCGCGCGGGGCGGCGGTTGGAACACACACATAATCACACATACTCACACATACACACACATACACGGGTCAGCGTTTCCCGCCGCTGCTCCTCCTGCAGGAGACCGTTACGGTACCGGACTGAGAGGATCGATCCGCCGCCGCACGAGCATGGAATGAAATCCAGAGCGGGAAGCCGGGAAACCATGGCAACGGATTTTTAGCATGAAGCTGACTGCGTGACGCACCAGATTACGGTCCCGTACAGGTAAGAGTTTTATTTACTGAAGGATCTAAGGTGTTTGACCTCGATCAACACTTTGCTAATGATTATTTCATTATTGATTGATCTGAGGATTATTTTCTCTAATAATCGATTAATCAGTTTATGTACAAAATGTAAGAAAATAATTTAAAAAATGCCAGTAAACATTTCTCACAGTGGTGACGTCAAATGTTTTGTTTTGTCCAAACAACAGTCTAAAGCTGGAAAATATGAGTTTTCAGTTTCTACTTAAAGAATTAAAATAGTTAATGATTAATTATCTTTCAACTGATTAATCGATCGTTAATGATCTAAGTACAGTTTTATTATCATTTGTTAAAATAGCTATTAGCTGTTATAAAATAAAGCTAAAATAAATCACATTGCTGAGATAACTATGTTCAGCTTCTTCTCATTGAAGCTGATTTATTTTCACCAAAATACAAAATTCTCAGAAATTGAAATAATGTGCTTGTTTCACCTGCAGTCCGACACTGATGTTCCTGTTTTAATTCACTAGTTTTAATCCAGTTTATAATTAAAACTAAAAAATGTTGATAAATGTCCTCCAGAACAACACGTATGAACATTTTCTGCATGACATCATTTATCTGTGCTGAACAAAACCTTTTCCTTAAGAAAAGAAAGTTATTTTTATATTTGAGAAATCTGGTTATTTTCTCAATGAATGATTTTAGTTTGTAAAATTAGATTTTTAAAAACGAAAAGATAAATACAAAATACATGCGATACAAAAATGACTTTTGAATATGATGAAAAAGAGCAAGTAATTCTCACAAATCTGATCTGGAACAAATCATCAAATGATTAACTGATTATCAAAATAGTTTACAAATCATTTTCTGGAGATCACTAATTGATTAGTTGTTTCAGCTGGTGCTGCTTTACATGGGGTCTGTACTGGACCATTCAAGGTCGGGACCAGGACGTCCCACTTTAAAGTCTCCGACAAAGAAAGTTGTATTGAACCTGCCGTAAAACAACCAAACATGACCTGGTCAGGTTTAGAGAAAGCCGTAAACAGCTGTCGCCTTTTTTGTTTTTGTTGCATTTTAGTCGGATAATTCCTCGTGCAGAACTGCCTCCAGAATAAATAACCTGTGTCTGAGCTCTTTAATTGACATATCAATGACAGAAACTGAGGGTTTAAATATCTACTGTATGACGTGGAGACGGAGTCCACACCCCAGACATTTCTTTCTTCCTGCTCATTCATCCATATTTAAAATTCCTCTGCATGGGGTTGACCAGAGGATACAGTCAGCGGGGTGGAGGGTGCACGCTTCACTTAGCAATTAGCATCACAGGGAAACACTCGCACACATGTCCCGCTAATGTCAAATCCAACAGGCGAGGAGCTCCTCCTCCCTCCTGTGGGATCATAGTGAGACGTGTCAATCCGACGGACACGTCCTTAAACTCTCATAAACATTTTGCTCTTTTAAATCTGCAGGTTTCAGTCTCATCAAATTTTTATCTTCAAAAAAATCAATTATGTAGCACACACACACACACACACACACACACACACACACACACACACACACACACACACACACACACACACACACTCTGACCCAGTTTCTCCCCAGGTTTACTCATTTCCATTCTCTGCGTGCAGAAGGAATACGTTTGGAGTATTTCTTCTTCTACTACCAGTTAGGATCTCTGCTGCAGTGTTTCCTTTGTTTTCTGATGTGCTCCTGTTTCATCTTCCAGGTCTGCAGCTCCCTGGTGAATCATGTCTTCCTCCTCCTCCCCCTCCTCTTCCTCAGAGCTGCCCTACTTTTGTCCTCGCTGTGGTGACAAGTTTCGTTTCTTGTCTGTACCTGAGCTCCAGGCTCACCTGGTCAGCCGACACACCTATGAGACCCTGCTGGTGCTGTCGCAGGTGATTCATACATCATGATGAATATTTATCTCTTCATTCACTGGTGAATTTTTTTGGCCAGAAAATGGTGGAAAAAGATGTGAGGTCTTCAAATGTCTGGTTTTACCCAACCAACGGGCCAAACCACAACGCTACTCAGTTTATAATAATTAGGCAGATGTTCTGTTTCTTCTGTTTTATATCACAGTTAACTGAATGTTTTAGGGTTTTCAACGTTGGTCGGACAAAACAAGACATTTAAAGATGTCACCTTGGACTTTTATCATGATCACCCAGATTTACTTTGTGCAGATTCCTTTTGAGATGAACTAGTCTTGTTGTTTAAAATGCTGGAGTGACTGGACCTTTAGTCTGACCACACACAGCCAGCTCAGCATTAACTGTATCATTACAGGCTCGGGTTCGAAGCTCCAGACCAGGCGTCCTCCTCCCGCTCCCCAGCCCTGCTGTATCCCAAAGACAGGGCTCCTCTCTGGGCACGGAGCCCCACAGCTTCCCCCTGCAGCTGGCCTGCCTGGATCTCGCCTCGTCGTCCGCCTCCATCCAACTGCTCAGGGAAATGTTTGGCTCTTCAGATCGCGCTCTTCCCGCCTCCACAGGACATCCACAGACCCCCTCCACCGCTCTGGCCCTCCCCGGCTCTCTGGAGCCTTTTCCTGGGAAGAACGTTGGCGAAGTGGGGGTCCTGGAGTTTGGGCTGTCGGTGGGGATCGGGCTGGAGGAGCGACTGGGGCTCGGGCTGGACCGTAAGATCGCCCGGATGTTCGCGGAGGTGGAGGAGAGGGTCAACCGCCGCATGGGTCGGCTGAGGGTGGCGCTACAGAGGAGAGAGGCGGAGCTAGAGCGGGAGAGGTGGGAGGGGGAGCGACTGAGAAGTGAGAAACAGGAAGTGGAGGAGAGGGCGGCGTACCTGTCCAGACAGGTGGGTGGAGCTGAGATGCTAAAATGATCCCATAGTATCAGTATTTTAGAGAAAAATATCCGTTTCACCTGCTTTTAAACATAATTTTACAGACATGACATTTTAAATACACGCCGTAATTTATTGATTATTGGAGTTTTAAGAGATTTATTTCTATCTATCAGGTCTCAGCTGCCATGGAGATGATGCAGCGATTAAAGAGAGATCTGCACGGAAAAGAGAAGGAGCTGAATGAACGACAACAGTCAGTATTTCCAAAGATTCAGATTTTCTTCGAGCTTCTCAGATATTTGATGATATTCTTTGTCATACGTGATACTAAACTGAATATATGACTTTTTTAAATGAGACAGAGAAAAGCAAGTTTTTGCTTTTCAGGGTGAGTGAGATACATGTTTGTTATAGTGCAGCCATATTTATTTAACGGTTAAAATACAGTAGAAAGGGACTTTAATATCTCTAGTCTTTGTTTTTGAAAGATGAATTATTCCTCTGATTTTAAAATACACTGTGTGGAATCAGGGATCATGTTATACAGAGTGTTTGAAACACAATGTACTGAACAGAGAAATGCAACACGATGCACAGACAGAGGACACGTCATGTTTAGTCTGCCTCACTGCACACACACACACACACACACACACACACACACACTCAGCTGTGGTTTCCTGTGATGATTAATATAAGATGACAGTGAGGCATTGCAGCCCCGAGGGTGTGTGTGCTTGTTTTTGTGAGGACAGACACTGTGTTTCTGTGGCTTCATTTATCTGCACAATGTTGTTTATTTTTTAATGCTGTTTGTGTGTTTTTTCATGTGACTTAATTATCTGCATCTAAATCCCTGTTAGGGGACGGAGACAAAAACGATACCAGACAATCTTATATAATAGTCACAGTGAATACAACAGCATTGCAATAAATCCTATTAGGGCTGTAACTAATGTTTATTTTCAATTAATCAATGAATCGAGAAAATGCCAATCACAGAATCCTCTGTGACTTCTTTGAATATTTTGTTTCATCTGAAAAAACATTATCATAATATACATTTTGAAATATGTGTGTGTGTGTGTGTGTGTGTATTTGCAGGGAGATGGTGGACATTGAGCGTTTTCTGAGGGAGACAGCAGAGAAAGAAGCAGAGGCCAAAACCAGACTGCAGGTGGAACTACAAATCTATTTATCTAAAATCTATTAAAGCGATTGTTTGGTTTTACTGATGATTGTAAATAACAAAGACAAACTGCTTTTTGTTGCTTTATGTGGCTAGCTGCTAGCTGTTGCTAGCTGTTCACTTTTGGGGCTACAACATTTCTTCAGGTTAGCTACTCATTCAGTTCAGTGGCTAAAACATGGAAGTGGTTAGCTTTATCATTTAACAGCTACACCTGTGTTGGTTGAGTTACCTGTTTCGTGGCTAACAGTTTTTTAGGTTCCCTAATTGTTTGGTTCATGTTAACTAAACAATTTAGTTTGGGTTGGTTATCAATTTAGTGTAGTGGCTAAAAATGTTTTGCTTACGGGTTAGCTAACTGTTTAGGTTCAGTTTCTCAGGTAGTTTTTTGGCTATGACAAATTGGTTCAGGTTAGCTAACTGTTCACTTTAGGGGCTACGACATTTTTTTTCAGGTTAGCCCATTGAGTTCAGTGGCTAAAACATGGTAGCGGTTAGCTATACCATTTAACAGCGGTGTTAGTGGTGTGGATTGAGTAACTGGTTTTGTGGCTAATAGTTTTTTAGATTTACTAATTGCTTGGTTCATGTCAAGTAAACGACTGAATTCTAGTTTACTATCACTTCAGTTTGGTGGTTAAAATGTTTTGCTTTGTTAAGTTAGCTAACCGATTTAGGTTTAGAGGCTTCTGTTTTGTATTTAGTGGAACATTAAAACTTCAGTTTAAAAGAACAAAGTGTCTGGTTCATGTTAGCCTCAGGTTGTAGATGTGATGCAGTCAAAAAATTATTCTTCCAGTAGAAAACTGAACCCGATTAGTTGAAGTTAAAGAAACAACTTTTTGTTTCTAGTAATTTCTCCTTCACTGAATCCTTTCCTGCTGCTCTTTTGTCACTCTGTCTGAGTCAGTGTGTCTAATTTATCTAACATAATATTTATACACCTTCATTATTATTATTATTATTATTATTAGTATTATTGTTTTCCAGGTGTTCATCGAGACGTTGTTGGAACGAGCCGACCGCGCAGAGAGACAGTTACTGCAGCTCAGCTCACACACACATCACAACCGCTTCACACACCACAACGACAGATACGCACACACGGACGTATACGTTGACCCGTACGCGCTCACACAGGTATACACACCTGTACTGGGCCGGGGAGGACGCAGTCTGGACGGAAGCACCGACGACATTGCGAGCAAGTTGCAGGGAACCATCGGCAACCGGGTGAGGAAAAAAAAACAAAATGTCTGTTAAATAAAAACGAGTGGAATCCACTTAACAAAACTTTATTGACACAAGTAAATGTTACAAAACACATGTAAGTAATGTATATCCATAGTTGTTATATGTTATTTTGTGCCAGATGCTGGAAAATCTTCCCTCTTTCATTACCTCTTCTTTCTCTTTTGTCCACTCCTCCTCCTCCTCCTCCTCCTCCTCCTTCCTCCTCCTCTCATCCTTGGTCTTCATCCTCCTCCTCCTCCTCTTCTCCCAGAGGAGTTACAGTGTTTCAGGTTCCTGCAGACTGGGGGAGCAGCTGTACAGCGACCATCACTACAGGTACCTGACACCTGAAAGCATGTTTTAAAATGACCAGTACATTTTTATCATCAGATTTAATTCTCTTTCTCATCATTTTTGAGGATTCATGAGAATCTTTGATCAAACCTTATTGTACCGTTATAACTGACTGACTGATTTCTAATTTCTGTGATAAAGACAATTACTGGAGCTGTAGTATTTATATGGTCATGGGCTTTATGGTTTCATTCTTCTGTGTGTATCTCTGTCTTTGCCTCTCCCAGCGGTCTGACCGGACGTATGCGGACCTTGTCTCTGGGTTCGGGGGGGTGGGACTGTGAGGGTGGGTTGGGCCATCTCCACCCCCCTCATTACCCTCCACTCTGGACTCGACAAGAGAGAGGAGGGGGGGATAATAGAAGAGAGAGATTCTGGTGTGTAAGATAAGTAATAAATACAGTGTCTCTGGTTAATAGACCTGTTGATAAACCTTTCATTTAGTCAATGTATTTGTATCAATTGCTTTTATATTTTAATTTACAATTGAAGAGTCTCGTTTTAAACTCTGAAATATTAAACGTTGAGTTGATGAAACCTGCCGGACCAGCGCTGGGCTACGAGGTAAATGTTAGCATAGTGGTGATAGCTGGAACTGCAGGTCACATGACCCAAAAAATGTTTTTCCTCATTCACAATCTTTACAAAAAACAACAGTGACACTATGAATATATATAGTCATATACATAAATATAGTCTCACAACAAATGAAAAAGCCTTAAATAACCATATTAGTGTCTTGACTTTCTTCTTCTTCTGTGTTTCCAGGGTAGGGGAGGGGGAATGGGGGAGAACGTGGAACAAAAGAAGCCGTCGTCATCACAGCACTGAGGAAGAGGAGGATGAGGAGGAAGAGGAGGAGTACGATGAAGAGGAGGGGTGTTGGAGCAGCATTGAGATGAGGAAGCTCGTCTTCTCCAGGACACACACACCTGGATCAGGTAAACTCTCTTTTATTCTCATTTCTAATTTTTCTTTTCCTCTGTGGTTGTTGCTAAGTGTTCTGTGTTTTCAGACATCCCCTCCTCCCTCCGCTCCACCCCCTCCCGTCATCATGGTGACAGACAGCTGGGGGCGGACACCTTGAGGCTGAGGGCGGGGCTTTTATGCGTCTTCCCGTATTTGGACGCGCGGTCGTTGCTGTGCGCGGCCGAGGTATGCTCGGATTGGCGGTTTGTCGCGAGGCACCCAGCGGTTTGGACACGCCTCCGGCTGGAGAACGCCAGAGTGTCGACCGAGGTAGCCATCATCTTCATCTTCATCATCAACATCATCAGTGTTATTATCATCAGGAAACACTTTTTTGCCATTACTCAAGATTTCACACAAATGGTTCATATTTCATAACCTGAATTTAATCGAGTGGCGGAGGGATTTCAACCCGGAGGCAGTAACTAGTTTTCTGTACGTTGTGTGTTTTGTGTAGTTCCTGACCACTCTGTCTCAGTGGTGCACTCAAACTCAGTCTGTGGTTCTCAACAACCTGAAGCCACGAAGCAGACGAGCTGACGAGGCGCGGGAGGATTACCACAGGAACACCAGGTAACGGCATCTAATTTCAAATGAGAGTCCAGGTGTCGTCTAAGAGGAGGAGTGAAGGAGTTAAGATAAGTGCATTGTGGGTATTGTAGTTGACCCGGTGGTGTGTGTTCTGTCTCTCAGGGGCAGTGTGGAGCCGGGGGTGGAGGCTCTGCTGCGGTCAGCAGGGGGCAGTCTGCTCCACCTGTCTGTGTCTCAGTGTCCTCACATCCTCACTGACAGGACGCTGTGGTTGGCCAGCTGCTACTGCAGGAACCTGCAGACGCTCACATACAGGTGACTCTCTTCACCTGTCTGTCTACCTGACTGACTGATCACCTGTCTGACTCTTTACCTGTCTGTGATGCAGGAGTTCATCAGACCCTCTGGGTCAGGAGGTTCTCTGGGCCCTGGGTGCTGGCTGCAGGAACATCAGCAGCCTGCAGGTGGCGCCGGCTCATCCCTGGTCAGTGCACTCACACACTGTATAGATTCACTCACAGTGTGTGTGTGTCTGTGTGTGTATATATAGTTTAATTATGTTAATTCACATTTTACCATAAATACATTTTTTAATTACGTGTCATCTCTGTCTTCCTTTCTTTCCTTCTCTCCTTCAGCCAACAACCAACTCGTTTTGGAAACCGCTGCCTGCAGACGATTGGTCGATGCTGGCCACACCTCCACTCACTCAGTGTGGGCGGGGCCGGCTGTGGGACTCAGGGATTGGTTTCTGTTGGTGAATGAAAATTCTTTTAGTAATGTTGTGTTGAATATTGGAAAAAGGACACTTCATAAACATCATAATCATCAATAGTTTTGTTTAAAATATCACAAATATTTAAGAGAAATTATTCAAGCACAATTAAACAATTAATCACTTCATCATAAGAATGAACGACAGATTAATCAAATAGTAGAAACACAACGGGACACAGACTTTTCCAAAAGTGAGTAAGAGTTGATTCGACTTTTTAAACAGAATTAAATGTAATTTAAAAAAAAGTTTCTTTGGTCGTGCTCGAACTCAGAGGTTGAACCTGCGGACTGAAGTTTTTCTTCATTTGAATAATGTTTAATGTTGGAGGTTTCTCAAAGAGTGCATGTAACTCAATTTTTATTCATTCATCTATTCTTACTAATTACTCACCTTCGTTTGAAGTTTTTTGTTATTTGTATTTATAAGATCATTTTTAAAAAGTGCTACAAGTAAATAAAAGTTCAGAAGATTAAAAAACATTAGTGTGTAAAATGATGGACAAGAGAAACACGATTAGAGTTATTACCTGTGTGTGTTTTCCGTGCAGTGCGTACCTGCGCTCACCTGCAGGTGTTGGAGTTGGAGCGCATCACCGACATGGGCCTGCAGGTGGCGATAGAGCTGTGTCGAGCCGGACTGAAGAGTCTGCAGACGCTGATCCTGACGCACACACCTGTCAGCGGTCAGGCCATCCTGCACTTCCACAGTGAGATGAACTTCCTGTGGACACAGTTAATTATCATCACTCTGACATGTGACTGATTAATACAGCCTCCTCCATGTGTGTGTGTGTGTGTGTGTGTGTGCAGGTGTGTGTGACAATATCAGGTCCATCATGGTCGAGGTCTCGGTGTCGGATTACTTTGAGGAGGCGGACACTCAGGAAGCTCAGCACCTGTTTGGAGAAATCCTCAGCACATTAAAGGTGAGTGTTTGTTATACTTTATAAAAACAGTGGCAGACGTTTCACCATGTAGCAGCTTAATGTGTGTGTTCTTCTTCAGGTTCTTCAGAAGCGTCCCGGCCTGTGTGATGTCCTGCAGGTTAAAGCTGAAGGATTCTGCTGACCTCAACACACACATTTGTACTGCCTAAGTCTTAACCTTCATTCAGGACTGTGAAGCAGTGAGGATCTCATGGTGCAGGAACGTCCTCACTTTGATGGTTTAAAACAGGTCCTCACAAAGACCACAAACTAACACGGAAATGTTTGTACTTCTATACTTGTGAGGACCCACATGACATGATGCATTTCTTAATCCTAAAGCCAGGGGTCCATCGAGGACCCTCCTTTAGGATATTCACAGCAGTCAGGTTCCTTCCTGTGCTACGTATTTCCGATAACTGCCATAATTTCCAAGTGCCCGTTAAGACCTCAAGCATGTGGAGGTTTATCAACGCTTATTAAGACACGCTTGAGTAATGAGGACATCCCATGACTTAATACATGTAATACATGGCACAACCAAGCTCAGACACTTTGTTGGTTTTATTTAATTTCCATGTATCAACAACCTTTAAAGAATAATTTAATTAATTAAACAGTTAAATCAAGTTATCTAGAAACAAATTGGCCCATATTATATAAAATATAAAAGTGATATTAGTGCTGAACTGATTAGTTGATTAATGAAATTAGTCAACCATTTTCAGAATCGATGAATCGTTTTTCTTAACCTAACATCTTTGTGTTTTGAGTTGTTGAACAAATCGCTGTTTGAAGACGTCACATCGGGCTTAAGGAAATTGTGAGAATTTGTGATTTTTCAATATTTTCTGACATTTCATAAACCATCAATTGGTAAGATAATCACAAGCCTCATCAAAAATTTCCAATACAGATTTTTCTTCAAAATCTTTTGTTAAAAGGATATTTTGTTTTTCAGGTCTCTGATAAATAAAAATTGTATGAATACAGATAATAACATTTATGCTGAATCCAACGTGTTGTAATGTTCAACTTTTTCATTTTCATTCAGTAGTAAAACCAGCTTTTAAATGGAGTTAAGAGCGGTGTCAATCAGATGAAGGTTAAGTTTATGATATGTTGAAACTCAAAATTGTTGCAGAGCAATTTTCTGTTCATCAATTAATCGACTAATCATTCAGCTCAAACACACTTAACACTCCTCTAACCAGAACCCGTCCCAGAACTCTGATATTTCAGTCACTCAGAACCTCAGAAAGTTTGTTTTATGGCAATAATGTTGAAAAACATAAACTCGCTGGATGGTAGAAAATCCTCTTGTTCAGTTGCTGAAATGTCCTAATTACAAGAAATGGCCGTTCGGGAATGTGGTACGATAATCCTGGATCAGGGCTGAACAAAACCTTGAACTTTCCCTCACAGTCCCTTATTCTGCCAGAACCTCTTCACGAAACCCCAAACACGATCTTTATTCCTCTTAAATGAATCACAAACACCTTTTTCCACCACATTTAAGTCTGTTTTGCACTTTTTAAAGACAATCCTTTATCTTCCCAAACTTCAAAACTTCATCTCCCTTTACACTTTAACAAAGCTCAATACTCCCCCTTAAATTAACCCTTAGTCTCCACTAACAAACCCTTTATTCATAGCTTTTACTTTTACGTACAAACCCTTCAACCATTAAGCCAACAATATTAGCAATAAGGATTATAAGAAAATCCTTATTCTACCTTAAAAGCTATACCTCTTGTCATAGAAACCTTTAGTCTTACTTATTATAAATTAGTATTCTTTAGCTTTACCTTAGAAATAAGCACAAGCACACACAAGTATGCACAAATATTTTTGCACAAGCACAAAACACATCGACTCATTCGCCAAAGACATGAATCAATTAATCAATCAATCAGTCAGAGTTGCAAATGTGTTGGAATTGTTGATGAAAAAGTGGATCCATCATGTGTCTTTCAACATCTTTATAGAACCTACAGGTGCTACGTGTCATTTTACCATCAATAAATCATGTTCTCCTCAGTGTTCGGAGGCTTTCGTGTCATTAATGAACAACCTCCAAGATTGTACTAAAGTGGGAAACAAGCAGGGGGCACTGTTCCTTCAGAAATGAAGCTTCCAGCTCTTTTTTTCACCAACAATTCAACTGGTGTACTAGCAGTGGAACCAGACTTGAAGAACACTACAATGTGTGAAGTGTCTTAAGCGTCAGTTCCTCTAATGTCCACTAGCTGGTGCCCCAGAGTAAATGGCAAAACCTCCAACTTTCCTCAACAGGGTTTACCACTTGAAGTCATGTTCTCACTTCCTGCTTGCTCATGGACTTGCCTCATCTGTCAAGGCGTGACATTTACTTTTCAAAATTATGAGTAATGTTGTTTGTTAGAGGCTGTTAAAAACCATAAATATTGCACAATACAAGATGTTTTTTCAAAAACTGCTGTCTTGTCTGTGACATACCGTTGAGACTACCTTTTATAAACCTATTTACCAACTACAAAGAGACACAAAATTAGTACTGACACAGAATGACCAAGTTCCAAACAGCCTATTTACATGTTCATTTATCATACTGCATAAACAAAGTAACTGTTAATGTTTATTACTGCAGAGAACCGGAGCTTTGAATGTGAGTCTTGATAAATTTTTACTAATTTGCCAAGTTCAGATGTTTCTGAACGCGCCCCTGAACAAAGTCACACTCCAGGCTTCAGGACGTCCCGTCAGAGCTCAAATGCATCAGATTTCTGTTTGTGACAGAACAGGCGGAGCTAAGCTTCCTGCAAGACGAAGGTCAAGTGCGAAGGTCGTCCTGAGATATGTGTGTGTGTGTGTGTGTTTGTATCTGTGGGAGGGAGCGAGCAAACAACCTTTAACCCCAACAAAAGAGAGAGAGAGAGCATGTGATGACCAGTGACAGCTTGTAAACAATGTGTTTGGTTTACCCCGTGTGTGAGTGAGGTGTCACAGGGAACGTGTGTGTATTTGTGTGTTTTGGGGCACGTCGTGGTCGCCATGGTTTTCCTCAGACGGACAATGCTGGTTCGTTATCTGCTGCTGTCGGCCATGTTGGCTCTGCTTCTCTTCATCAGCTCCTTCTGGCTACGTGAGTGTCTCTGAAACTGGTCGGCCATTTTGGCTCCACCTCTCATAATCATTTGTGGAAAGTAACTAAGTACATTTACTCAACTACAGCTTTAAGGTACTTGTACTTTACTTAAGTATTTTCATTTGTTGCTACTTGTAACTTCTACTCTACTGAACTTATTTGACAACTGTAATTAAAAACTTAGAAAACTTAATAAAGTTTGATTAAACCAGATGTTCCCATGGCTGGATCCCTCTAGACCCCGAGGAGCTCAACAGCCACAAGTTCATTCATCTCCTCTGGTTTAACAATTTGATTAGTTACAGAAGTATTACATGTATTGGCTAATTAAAAGTAATTTAATATCTCAGTCACGGGACGATTTTCTGACAAACTGAAAGATCATTAGTGATTATTACTCTAATAACCACTGACATCACATGTGCATGAGGTTAGTGTAGTGTTGGACAAAGTTTGACCTGATGATGGCGCTGGAAGTAAAAGTGAGAGGATCTCCAGTCATTACAGTACATTACCAAAACATTAGATTTAAACACAGAAATACGTCTTTATTCAAACAGCAGAATCTAAACTACTGTGCTGTTTTCTTTGTTTGTAGTATTTTAAGTTTTACACACAGAAGTTAATAAATGATTAAACCATAATAGGTCTGCAGTTGTAAAAGTTAAGCAGTTTAAATTAAAAAGAATGTACTAACCACACTGGTATTGATTAAATCGTATTAATAAATGATCTATAATGAAAGTTGGACCCGCTTTGAAGTTATAATCTCATTTGCTTTCTCTTCAGCTCAGGGCGGAGTCAGAGACTGTGGCAGCGCCTGGCAGCCATGTTTGATTTTTTACCACCAAACAGTAAGACTAACACACACACACACGTGTTTTTTCTATCCTTGTGGGGACCATAGATAACTCAATACAATATTTAACTCCTAAAACCCCTGAGAACTTTACTGCAAATCATACGTATTTTTTTAACTTAACTAAGTATAAATTATTTTAACACCATTGAGACATATTAGAAACTAAGTTTTCAGGACCTTTAACTTGAACCAGATTCAAAATTGTACCGTAAAAGCAAATCTGGAACAAAATGTCCTAATTTTCCAAAAAGGTCTTTGAACACCACAGAACTTTATTGACCGTGTATAGAAATATAGATAATTTAATCATAGACTAAAGGAGTAAATGTATTGTGATGTACAGTATCATATATAAAAAACTGTATTTTAATTTTTTCTCTTTCAGCCCAAGCCTCTATTGGTCCCTGAGGAGTGGGCGGAGCCTGGTGGAGCCCTGCCCCTCATAAAGGAGTGTCCCGGCCAGTCGTTTCAGGCCTGGCGTCTGCTGCTGCATTTAAAGTCCAGTCTGACGGACAAAGACGACATCCTGCTGGAGCCGTACCTGCAGGGCTGGGACCAGCTCCTCAAGTATTTATTTTACATTACACACACACTTCATGTCATATGATCTTATTCAATTCAGCCTTTTTTTTTCCTGTTAAAACATCCTGTAACGAAGCTTTTTTTTAGTTCAGTTTGCACTTCTTGATTTTAAATTTTCAGTTTTTTTTCATGCTTTGATATTTGATTAATGAAAGTTTATCGTTCAAATATTATTTTAAATATAATAATAATTATAGACATATTAGCTTTGCATGAAAAGCTAACACATAAACATGAAAATGCTCCACTCTTGTTTCTCCTCTTCAGTTTCATGGAGTCTCTCGGGACGATGGTCAGTTTCTTCTCTCAGAAGGTGAAGGAAAAGGTGGTGCTGATACGAGACCTGTCACTCAAACACAGTGCAGAGGCTCATGGGAATCGTGGTCCAGCTGACAACTCTAGACTACAAACTCCAGCATCTTTTGGACTAAAAACCGGGGTGAGTCAAAAAAAAAAAAAGAGCCACAAAACGTGTCTGGATATTTAAAAAAATGAGTTTGGAAGTGAGTTTCCTGATTTTTCCTCTTGAGGTGTATCGGTCGGTTCGGTCCATGGTGGAGGCGGAGCTAAAAACGGGCGTGGTCAACTTCTCCCGGCGAACAGATTCGGGCTGCAGAACGCTGCTGAGGCTGCATCGATCTCTGCTGTGGTTGAAGCTGATGTTGGAGGGTTTGGCTGAAGGACCGGACGCAGACGGACGGTTCAAAACGCCCGGGGAGCTGAGCAGGTAACGACTTCGTCACAGAGCGTCGAAAATACCACAAGACAGTTCTTACGCCTTGTCAAGGTGTAAAACCTTCAGTCCGTCTTTTGTCTCCTTCCCTCAGAGACGCCTACAAGGTGGCGTTGGCCCCCCACCACCATTGGGTGCTCCGTCAGGCCGCCGAGCTCGTCTTCCTCGCCCTACCGGACAGACAGTACTTCCTGCAGCTTGTGTGTGTCCAGAAGCAGCACGAGGCTGCGCCCGTGCTCCGCATCATCATCCACGCCCTGACGCTGGTGCACGCACAAACTCAACGGATACTTGCCGAACACGACATGCTGGAGCTGCCATGACCGTCAACAACACGATGGTACATACAAGAGGCAAATGCTAGTTCTTTGGATGTCAACACTGTAAAAAATATACTGTTTGAAGGAGTCGAAGGAGGTGCTGATGCTTTACAAGCTTCTTACTTTCCCACAAACGTTATAAATGTGAGTTATTTTTCTTAAGGAGTTGCGCTGTACAAAATAAGATAACGGCATTTACATTTTCTTTACAGAATGTAGTTTATTATGGTCACAGTTGCTATAGCAACAAGCAGACTCACATTTTTTTTATAGTGAAGTACGTGTTAGCGGTTAGCTCTTCAGTTTGCTGCAGACATAAAAATGTAAAACCAAGATATTCACCGTTAAAAGTTTAATAATACCTGTTGAGGAACGCATGCACTTTAAGGCACCACATGCCGCATTCAGGACCACGTGGGATTTGGAAGCACTCTCATCAAAATACCAAACTGTTTACAAATGAGGAATTATTGCAGAGTTCAAGGGCTGATTAAATTAAATTAACTTACTCGGTTGGAGGAAGTGTCCCATATCCCACTCACCCTGAATGCAACATTAGTTACAATGGAATGTGAATTAAGAAACATTGAACAAATCAATTCAAATGTAGCCGAAGAAACACTAAAAATATCAGCTGTAGAGTTTCAGACTTGAACTTCACCATCTACACAACAAAGTTTAACAAGTTTTTATGTTTGAGTGATTTTTACATGAGCTGAAAGCAGTAAACACAACATTAAGTACAACACAATCTATACAGTTGATAGATACGGTACTTATTAACTAAAAGTTTAAGAGCAGAAAACGTTTGTTCATACAGCTACAGGTTTGGAATCATAACAGTATTTATTACATTAAACTGACTTTTTAAAAGTTGGAATCATCAAAACTTAACTTTTTTTTTGATGATTATTTTCCACAAACCACTGACTGTATAAAACGTCACATTGTTTTGTCGAACCAAAAGTTATTTAATCCAAATTAAATCAAAGAAAAGCAACAATTTTGCTCAATAGTCAGATTTTAGTAACAGTACCAAAACAAATAATTATTAAAACTGAATTAATTTTGTTTTGTTCAATTAATCATTGACTTGTTAACGTATGTTTTTCATTAGGGTTTGGAATCACTCAAAAGCTTTAAATTCTAATGCCAATACTTACATTTTTAGAAATGTTGTATGGAATAATTAATTTTCACTTAGTAATTATCAATTATGTAATTATCATTGATTATTAGCTAATTTTGTTTAGTTTCCCTTTTTATTTCTAAATAAGGGCTTTTAATTTTGGTATTGAGTCCACAACTAATTTCAGTAATAGCTTGTTTACATATGTTCCTTAGTAGTGCCAGTTATTTTTATCTAGTTTACCTTTTTATTTTTAAAACAGCAGGGCTGGGTATTGTTTCACATTTCCAATACAATACCTGAAGTTTGGTATTGATTCCACAACTAATCGATTGTTTCAGCAATTATTTGATTTTATTTTTTTATTTTAATCCACGAGTAGGGCTGGGTGATTATTTGACATTTTTCAATACCAAAACAAATGTTCTTTGTTTTTTCTGTCAGTTGATTCATCGATTATTTATCGAAGCACTTCTGTTGTTTTGTTTTTCAAAAACTGTGACTGAGTGTCATATGACGTTTTTCAACACCTGAATTTCTGCATCAACAGCAAAACAATACCTAGAAATATGAACATGTTTTTTTACAAAAACATTTTCTTTTCATTTAAAGGTGCTATTTGTAAGTTTTAGATATTGCTACAGAGCTAGCATTAGCATTAACAGCTACTTACCAGTGTGGAAGAGACGATGTGAGTTCAGCATTAAACGTCTTAGCTAGCCCCGTCTTGTAATTCCACTTTCTGAGTCACTGTAGCGTCCAGTCAGTTCAGCATTAGAGGACGGAGAAGCAGCTGCTCAGAGGACGTATTGTAACTTCCTGACTTGTAAACGCAACGATGGCTGAAGCTCCTGTTATCACCTTTAATAACACCTGCTTCCAGAAAGAAAACTTAGATACAGCACCTTTAACAAAAGTGAAATGTTGAAACACGAGAAGCCGTACGCAAGAACTTTGTCTACATGAAGAGTAATGAAAGAAGAGTCTGGTGTCAGTGTTCAGCACTTTGACCGACAGGGTTCAGCTTTGTGTCCCGATTCAGGGGCTTCATCCTTCGGAGGCTGTATCTCAAGACCGACTGCATCACAGCGGCGCGACTACACCGACGTATCCCAAGATTCACTGCGCGCCGACAGAGTCTGAGAATTACACCGTCTAATGTAAGAATTGTGTTTCAGCTCCGTTCAACATCACAACTGTTAAAACCAAGAGACTTTAAAACAAAAAAAGTTTTTGTGAAAGAAATTACGTGTTGTCAAGGTTGCTAGGTGACAGGAGCTGTACTTTGTGACGCAACGGTGAAGGTGAAAATCCTGCGCAGACCAGACCGTCTCATTTGGTTCGGCCTTCGCGGTCTACGACGGCTGAACTTCGTAGACCGCGTCCTCCAAAGGATGCGTCCCCTGAGTTGGGACGCGGCTGATATGAAGCGTCTTTTAGGACGTGGACGGATCCAGAAACGGGTTTTCTTCTGCCTGGTGGCTCTTCATGTGCGTCTTCAGACAGTGGCTCTGAGTAAAGGCCTTGTCGCAGAGGGAACACTTGTACGGTCGCTCTCCGTTGTGAGTCCTCATGTGGACGGTCAGGTGTTCTTGGCGAGAACACGCCTTCCCGCAAACCCCGCACACGAACAGCTTGATGCCTAAGTGGCTCCTGACGTGGTTGTTCAGGTGAGTCTTGCGTTTGAAGAAGCGGCCGCACTCGGAGCAGCCGTACGGCGCCTCGCCCGTGTGGACCCGCATGTGGGCCTTCAGCTCGCCGTTGGATATGAAGCCCTTGCTGCAGATGATGCAGATGAACGGCCTCTCGTTGCTGTGCGTCTTCATGTGAGCCGTCAGGCCGCAGTTTGAGAGGAAGGTCTTGCAGCAGATGTGGCAGAGGTACGGCCTGTCTCTCACCGTGTGGATCTTCTCGTGCGACTTCAACGTGCCGAGGATTTTGAAACGCTTCCCGCAAACCTCGCAGCCGTACCGCCTCTCGCCCGAGTGCGTGGCCTTGTGGCGGGTTAACGATCGCAGGTCATAGACGGACTTCCCGCAGATGTTGCAGTGGTACCTGTCTCTGCCTGTGTGCACCTTGCTGTGAGCTTTGAGCTGCGCCTTCAGACCGAACGCTTTGGGGCAAATATCGCACTTGTGAGGTTTGTCCGCCACGTGGACCCAGCGGTGGACGCTCAGGCTGGACATGTGAGCGAAGGTTTTGTTGCAGACGTCGCATTTGAACGGCCGGTCTCCCGTGTGCAGAGTGGTGTGGCAGTTGAGGCCGGCGACGGTGGAGAAAGATTTTCCACAGTACGAACAGTCGTGAGTTTTTTGGTACTTTCTAAGGTGTCTCTTTAACTCTTCCACAGATTCGAAACGCTCGCCGCACACGCTGCAGACGCACTGCGCCTCGTCCACGTGGCTCCAGGCGTGTTTGATCAAGCTGCCCTGCATCCTGTACCAAACTCCACAGACTTTACAGGGCGTTTTACTCCTCTCCACAACAGGAGCTCGACGCCCTCGCCTCCTGAAAGGCGGCGTCGTCGTCGTCTTTGGCGACTGCAGGTCAGGATCTGGTTTCCAGTCGTCGTCTCCGGACGCCACGTCGCTCTCAGCAGCATCTTCATCATCAGTTTCCACGTTATGTTGTTGTTGTTGTTGTGACGTCGAGCTGCTGGGCCGAACGTCCACTCTGGTACCATCATGTTGAACTGAGCCGCTGTGAAGTGAAAATTTAACATCACAAACTTAAAACCATTTCATCAACTCTATTAAAGATTATCACAACACTGAAGATTCGAGCGGAACAATTAATAGAAATCTCAATATATATAAATATCCAAATCTCATGAGCTGCAGTTTTCTTTTTTTGATAAAAGGTAAAATGTGTGTTAGCACCATCAGTGTCGTGGTGCTAACAGTGTCGCTCCGACCTACAGATCTTATCCTCCAGACGTAAAGAAACAAGAGCGACAGAAAGTCACAAAAACTCATTCTGACTGAAATCGTGACTCAGTAAGAAACGCAGACAGAAATGCCAAAGTTACGATTTAAAACAGTGTCACCGTCCACCAGAGACGTTTTCAAAAAAGTTAGAGCGAATTTGAGCGAAAACATGATTTAAATTAAATCAAACGCAACATTTATATCGAATTTTAAGCAAAGTTTGTTTATCAAGTTAAAGTTTTCTACCCAGAACTTCTCATGGTTAAAGTTATTAAAACAAATATATATATATATTTAAATGTATATATATTTTACATTTATATATATAAATAAATGTAAAATATGTGTTATCAGTTTATTAGGTACATGTGGGTAAAACTGAGTGTACACTGTTTCTAGTTACACTGTCGTTGATCTGTATCGGCGTGCATATTTATCAGCGTGAATATTTATCATTGCTATTGTAATTTTTCTTTACCGTTTTAACATCATGTTGTCATGGTTACCAGGAAGAGGAGCCGCTACCTTGGTAGTGGCTGATGAGGTGTCAGAACAGTCCTGCAGTAACTCCTCCTTCAGGAAGGTGTTTGTATTATTTTTAATTTACTGTTTTTTTCTTCATTCAAATCAATGAGGGAAGAATAAACAATAAATACAAACTTTTTTCTGTCGTTTGAATAAAACAACTAAAAACATTAAATCCTGACTTTCTGTCTCTTTGTAAATCACCTTGAACCGAGTCCGGCATCGTCACTTTTTATCACCATGGCGACAGAGGACGGAGAATCGTCGGCTTCGTCATTGTTTCTTGGTAAAAGGTTGAGCTCCTCCTCCTCCTCCTCCTTCTCTCCTGTCTACAAGAGTTTGTTCACAAATGAACGTTTTTAATTTATCCTTCGTGTCACAGTGGGACATCTGCAGAGTGACGCTACAGTACCTTCAGTCTGATGTAGAGCAGGGTCTTCGAGACCCCGGTGGACTTGGTGGTCCTGTAGATCTCCTCTGGAGTCAGAGACTTCAGTCTGAGCCTCTGGAGTCTCCGGCTCCGGTCCGACTTGAACACGTCGAAGGGTTTGTTGTCTCCAGCCAGCTGAGGGAAGGTGGACCTGAGCATGTCCAGGAAGTCCGCCTCCTGCAGACCACGAGGACACCTCAGGTCCTGGACCGAGGATTTCGTAAACACTGAAACAGAGGACGGAGTTTGTGTCTTCGTTACACATTTAGAAAAATAAAGCAACAAACGCGAGGGATGAGTCAGTTTACATATTTCATATTTACCGTTTTTTGAGACCACGTCTGACTGGGAATCCTCCAGCATGCAGATCCGGAGGTAGTGGTGGGTGGGTTCTTCACCGAGCCGGGGTCGGCCACGCCTCCTCCTCTCAGACCGATCCTTCGGAGACAACAAGCTGAAAAACGAATGACAGGAAACTAAATACCTACAGCATGTGGTTTGTCATGTGACCAGAGAGGAGATTCGTCATCGCTGTCATCAGGCTCAGTTCTCTTCTGGTCTTCGTTACCTCGTGTACGTGTCGGTTTGATCGGGCGTCATCGAGGCCGAGCTGGACGGAGAGTCTCCGCCGGCTTCGTCCGGTCTCTGCAGAGGATGGGCTTCACTGCTGGGGTGAGGGTCCTGTCCTGTCTGTAAAAGTCCCCCAATGATACTTTCACTCAACACCGATGCACCTTATTACCCTGCTGGTATCCAAATGCCCCGGAAAACAGGTAAAACACTGCCGCCTTGTACAAATATCACCATGTCAGTGCAAAATACTACAGACAGGAAAACCTGCCCCGTCTTTATCAGCTGAAAAAACTTTGCAGTTGTTAATATTCAGATTGTTTTGATGTATAAGTTACACATTAAAGACTAAATTTACATTAGGGCGCCTCTAAAAGTTGTGGTTCAAAGTTGGCTGTATTAACAGATGGATTCAAAGAGGTTTGGTAAACAAAGACACAGGTGCAAGAACACAGAACCTTCAGTCGGATGTAGAGGGCTGAGTTTCCAGCCCCCGTGGACCTGATGGTCCTGTAGATCTCCTCTGGGGTCAGGGTCGTGACCTTCAGAGGCTGGAGTCTCCTGGTTCTGTCGGAAGTGAAGAAGTCAAAGGGTTTATCGCCCGCCAGCTGAGGGAAGGTGGACCTGAGCAGGTCCAGGAAGTCGGCCTCCTGTAGTCCACGAGGACACTGCAGCTCCTGCACCGGACACTTCTGAAACACTGGAAAAGAGGAGAATTCATCATGAGCTTATGGATCTAAAAACTGTGACTGATCGTCTTGATTGTTTTCTCTCAATACACTTGATTGATTCATTGACTAACTCTAGTGCTTGAGACCAACCACTTTTCGAGAGCACATCGTTCTGCAAGTCCTCCAGGATGCAGATCCTGAGATCCAGATGGGTCTGCATGTCGCTGATCCGAGGTCTGCCGGGCTTCCTCCTGTCAGACCGAACTCTGGGGGAAAACGACCTGGAGGAGGAAGACCGGCAGCATGTTGATGACATGGCGTCTAGTATTTGGGTACTTTACTTGGGTATTTCCATATTGTGCTACTTTATATTTCTACTTCATTTCAGAGGGAAATATTTTATGTTTTGGCAAAAAAATAAAATGAAATCAAGATTCAAGAAAAGTTTGTGTCTGTGCTCTCCTCCTCTGTCATTAACCATCTCCAGAATAACATGTTGCAGCATTTAGGTTTCCCTTCACTGGATCTAAGGGACCAAAACAGCAAAGGGTGTCCACATACTTTTGGCCACACTGACCATTTTCATTAGCAGTACTGGGATTTGTAACCTTGATGGTATTTGAAAATCCGGGTCCTGCAGATCTTCTCGTTTCTGTCTGCAGCTTGTTGCCGTTTGCATGGATGGCCGCTCCTCTTCGTCTTCACCTTCATCATCATCATCGAACCACAGGAGGCCCAGACTCCCGGTGTCCTCCACATCTGGACAGAAGTGGAGCATGAGTCAAAAGTCCTGTTTAGTTGTTGGATGTATTTGTGGGTGTGAAGAAGCAGAGTTTAAAACCCCATGATCCGTGCATGAACAACAACACATCGTCTGCATATTGACGCACATAATGTATAAATACATAATAACATGTTTATTTGTACTCTGAGGAAAAGTCAAACCAAATCAAATTATTCTGCATTTGTCACAGCTGATTTATGTACACTGTTAGGTCCATATATATATGTATATACATGCCCATTCAGTGTAAGGACATACCTGGCTGCTGTCTGTGCTGCTGCTCCTCCTCCTCTTCCCCCTCACTTACTACAACCACATCATGGCTGTCCAGATCTGGGATCAGGGCTTTGAGGTTTCAATAAGAAGATAAATTAGTTTCTCTAAAATAGAAAGGAGGATTTGAGGATTTCTATAAACTGATGAAATAACCAAAAGTCACGCAAGAAACTTTTGTAAATCCTGCAAAGTTATTTCGACGTGTAGATTAAGTTAAGATCATTTAACAGACTGTGAATAATGAATTTACCAAACATTTTTTGTAAGTAAACACTTTCCAAATTGTAAATCTCGTCATTAAAATCTGTTCACTTCATGCACTTTGTTGGTGGTTTGTCAGTGAGCAAAGAAACGTTAAATTAACCCTTTTTTAAATTAAGTTTGACAAAACAAAATAAACAAGACAGCGTTTGTGACTCGATGTAAGATAATAGAAAGTCTGTCAACCAACTTTTTCTATGTAGATACAACCCGAAATGTAAATCACATCATGAAAATTGGTGTAAGCATTAACTTTATGTACTTTGAAATCTGCATGTTTGAAAGCAAAGAAACTTTAAATTAACCATTTGTTGAATAAATCGGGAAAACTGATTTAATTTCCAAAATGTGTGCATCAATACACACCAAACTGTAAATCACATCATGAAGAAAAAAAATTGTGAAAGCGTTCATTTAATTAAAATCTTTACATACACACAACTGAACTAGATGTAATGCAGATTGAACCAACTTGAAAACTCACATAACATACAACATTTAATAAACTTTTTGTTTGCATTTACGAGCCTAATTGTAAGTTACATAATGAAAATTTGTATAAGCTTCAATTTAAGGTCCTCAGAATTAAAGAGGCGTGTCGGTGAGCAAAGACACTTTAAATTAACCTTTTTTTAAACTAAGTTCAACAAACCGTCACAGGGAGCATAGGGCCCAATTAACCACCTGGAAAAAACGGATTTAATTTACAAAATCTAACGCAACATTTTGTGTATTGATGTTTGCCGATTTGTAAATGACGCCATGGAAATGTGTATAAGCCTTAACTCAAAGTCCTCTGGACTGAGGAGGCGTGTCTGTGAGCAAAGAAACTTTAAATTAGCAGTTTTTTAAATTTAATTTAACAAACCACGTATAATAAGGCAGAACGTTTCTGAGTCGGTTTTTCATCCACCGACCTCTTCTCTCCAGTTTGACCCGCGGCTGCAGGAGAACCTCCAGCTGTCTCCTCTGCCGGGCGATCTCCTGCCTGAAGCCCGAAGCCTCCTCCTCATACCCGGCTACGGTTCTCTCCACGACCGCTAAGATCTCCTGCGCGGCCGTCGTCAGTTTCTCGGTGACGATTCCTCTCAGTATCTCGGCTTTAGACATGTTGTCGAGGCCGCCGAGGGCCTCGGGGCCCCCGCTGCTCCTCTTCATCCAGTAAAACATGTTCATTTGTTTTCACGGGGGGGCGGTGGGGGGGTTTGATGCACAGCACCTTCGCACATTTGCGCGGACCGAGTTGTTCCAGGTTTTGGTGCAGCCACAAAAGCTGTCCGACGAGAAACAAAAAACAAAGGCGTTGCGCGGAACCGAAGCTCGTGATATTTTACTCAAGTTGTTTATTTAACTTTTCCAGTTCCCTTATTGATGCTATAATATATGAATATATGATTTTTGATTTCAGGCTGAGATAACTTAATCTATCACATAATAACGTATCATATAATATATAATATCATATCATATAATCATAAACTTTTGTCTTTAACTTTATTTCTATCAGTAAAGCTCATCAAAACTCAGCAGTAAATTAACAGTTTAAAAAAACGTTACTTGAAATATTACAAACTATAGGCAACCTGAAAAGTAGCTCAAATTGCACAAAAAAGTCAAATATATTGTAAAAAATTATATAAATAATAATAAATTATATAATATAAATAAATATATTATTTAGTTAATATTATATTTTTTAAAAGTTAAATATTTCCCTCTAAATTGTGTTGGAGTAGAAGTATAAAGCAGCAAAAAAAAGAGGAAATACTCAAGTAAAAGTAAAAATACCTCAAACTTGTACTTGAGTACATGTACGTAGTTACATCGCATCCCCGAATAATAATCTTGATCTCAACAGTGTCGATTTCTCTTCATAGCAGCATCAACAAATTGTGAAAAATTTAACCACAAAACTGAGTCAGTGATTGTTTAAAGATGGCAGAATAATGAAGTGGAAAAATAACAGATTTAATCCAGACATCAAAACGACCTGACACAACATGGTCGAGCAGTTTGAGACGTTCACATGTTCATGTCACGACAGGAGGGACGACACCATTCACAATAAACAGCTTCCATGTCTGTGTTTTAAAACAACTGAAACCAGTTCAACCAGGAAGTTTAAATACATCTGTAACCGTGGAGATTTAAACCTGGTCCAGGTTAGTTTACAATCACTGCACTGTGAACCTGATCTCATCTTACTGTAGTCTAAAGGTCTGCAGAGTTTTCCTGTCACTGCAATGTACTGAGTGAGCACTTTATTAGGAACACCTGCTTCTCTGAGTCTCTTTAACGAAACACCAATAAAACAACGTCATTAATAAAAATAAAAAAAACAATAAAAACTTACAAATGTAAAAATATGTAAACCTTTTTGGTAGAAAAAAAAAACCCAATAACACCTTAATGTAACATTGTTAGATGTTTACACTGCTTTAGACTTTGTAAACTTTTCCAAAGGCATTTTTATGTTCTTGAATTTCTACAGATAAACAGGAGAAATGTAAACCATCATCACATTTCTTTCTCTCTCTTTTGTTACTGGTACACTCTGTTAATCGCTCTGACCTGATGAGAATCCCTGAAGGGCAAAATATCACCAACGTAAAGTCTAAGAATCTATTGCTAAAACAACCTAAAACTACCAAATTCATGTTGTCACTTTATAAAAATGTAATTTAATGCACAAACGCTCTCCTGTCTCTTTTGATGGCGTCACAATGTTCCTGCGTTAAGTCCGCTTCAATATTCTATCATTTTCATCAATTAATGAATGAATGTTTCCTAAAGGTTTCTGTCCATGTGTTTGATTATACCGCAGGTCTAGGTTCTACATTACACTTCAAATAAAACACAGAAGAAGAAAACATGGAGCTTAGATTCATGTCTCAATTGTTCAAACATGAAAATCCTGGTTCATGGATCAGTCTAAATTGATTTTCACCTGCTAACACGTGTAGCTGAAAAGTGTTACCATACATTACATCTTCAGCAGGAGCCAATGAGCTCGCAGCCGAGAGCCACAGGGGATCAGGGGATTTGTTGAATCTTATATTTAACGTTGCATCAGGCACCACGGTGCAACTTCATCATATCCACCAGCAAACATTATCCAAACAGAGGAAAACCTTTGAAGACGTCGGCTTGGATCCTTCAAGTTGTGAGCATTTTTTTTCCTCACTGTTTTTGGATGTTTCATGCAGCAAATGATGAATCGATTAATTAACATTGAAAAGCAACTTTTCCCTCGATAATAAAAAAGCCTTAGGTTTTAAAAGTCTGCTTCAGGTGTTCTGTCTCTTTGAGCTGGGGGTGTTCGGTGATCCAGACATGTGTCCGGGTCTCGTTAACCGTCTCTTTGACCATGAAGAAAATATGAAACTGTCTGTATTTAAAAGGAACTGAAACGTCTCCAGTTTAATGTGAACGCCGCAGAAACTCAGAGTCACTGTGAGAAGAAAACATCACAGAGGATTTGTTTAATCTGACTGGATATCACATTATGAGGCCCCTCCCCTTTGTTTATAAGGGGTGGAGCCTCATGTGAGTCACCAGCTTGGCCTTGCACCTGAAGTGTTTGTTGCACTCGCTGCAGCCGTCGGGCCGCTGCTGTGTCTCCTCAGGTGGGACTGAAGTCTCTTGTTGGAGGTAAACTTTCTGCAGCAGACGTCGCAGTCGTACAGTCTCTTTCGACCCGAGTGTGACATCATGTGCTGGGATAAAGTCTGGAGGCTGCGGAAAGGTTTGGAGCAGGTGCTGCAGCTGTACGGTGTCTCTCCGGTGTGTTTCACTCTGTGACTTTCCAGCTTGGTCTTGGAAACGCACGATATTTGGCAGATATCACATTTGTGCGGTTTGTTGGCGGTGTGGACCCACATGTGGTTGACGAGCGTTCCCCTCTGGGTGAACGCTTTGTGGCAAATCTTACATTTGTGTGGTTTCTCTCCTTTGTGAAGGGCGATGTGTCCGTTGAAGCCGCTGGTGGACAGGAAGGACTTTCCGCAGATGTTACAGCTGTGTGTTTTCTGGTGGCTCTGGAGATGAATCCGCAGCTGCTCCGTGGACTCCGACTGTTCTCCACACACGCCGCACTGCCGCTCCGGATGATCCACGTGACTCCAGGAGTGTTTGATCAACATGCTCGTCGACCAACGCAGCGCTCCGCAGATGCTACAGGATAGAGGGGCGTCGCCGTTTCTGCCCGTCAGCACCGGCCGAGGCGACCGGACCCGTTTCCTCTTCGCTCGGACGCGTGGACGCTCGACCCGCCGCTTCCCCGTCGTCTTCTCCGGCTCTTTATTCCTCAGATTCTCGTCAGTTTTCTCCGGTCTCCAGTCGTCGTCTCCGTCGTTCACTTCCTCCTCGTCTTGTTCGCTCTCAGACAGAAGCAGACACTGAAGAGACCAGAGACTGGGAGACCGTGACCTCTCACAGTCTTCATCTTCATCATCATCATCATCAGCCTCCTCTGTGAACGCGCCCTGCTGCTCTGACGTCGAGCAGCTGAACAGGAAGTCGACTCCGTTTCCCTCTTGTTGTTGAACGGAGCTGCAGGAACATACGACACAGAGTTAGGACACTTTCTGATGATACTAATAATAAGGATGAGCTTTATTTATTTCTACAGCAACTTTTCAAAACACAGCCACAAAGTGTTTTACAAGACGAGATAAAACTGAGGCCGAACAATAAAAATGATCCTAGAATATTTTTAAAAAGCAGGAGAATGACGTAATATAATAATAGACTTAAAACATTAGTAGATTCAGACCCTGAGCCCTGAAAAAGCACATCTATAAAAACGTCTTAGAGAGGGATTTAAAAGAGGCTGAAGAGAACCAGACGGTGCAAGTCATCAACAAAATCTAATCTAAAATTTACCAGAAGCCAATGAAAAGACGCTGAAATGGGAGTAACATGCTCTCCTTCTGGTTTAGGTGAGACGTCTCTGACGAGTCGCTCCTCCTCGGTCTGACTCACCTGCTGTGCCGTCCGGTCGGATCAGAGGTGGACGGAGAATCTTTAGCGGCATCGACGTTTCCCTGCGGGAGATGAGCTTTTTCCTCTGGCGCCTGAGAAGAGTTTTGAACCAGAATCACATTTTGATTGAGGTTTGGAGAAAACTACGACCACAGCAGGAAAACAAGGACGAGACCAACGTGTACGTGCGTATTGAATGGTGGTAATGACCTGCCGGTAGGAAACGGTAGACGCTGGTGGAACACCACAAGACGTTCTACTTATTCTGCGCTCTTCTATAAAACCCACAGATTCCTGCTTTGTTAATGTCTGTCTCCAAATCAAAGGAACTCATGCTGCTGACTTCCTGGTTTGCTACGAGCGTCATCATGTTTACAACTCCCGCAAAATCAACGCAAAATCAATGCAGAATCAATGCAGAATCAATGCTTTGTTGCCTGTTTTTAATTATCAAAAACAAAAATTTACTGGGAAGTCATGAGCTGTTAATGCTAACGTTAGCTATGCAGCAATAGCAAAACTTACGAACAGCTCCTTTAAGTTGAGCTTTCATCAGTTTGAAGTCACTGAAGTTAGAAATAAAGCCTGAGTTCAGGTTCAGGTTTCCTCACTGAGCCGATACCTTCAGGCGGATGTAGAGGACAGAGTGCCCGAAGAACCTCATGGTGCTGGAGACCTCCTCCGGTGTCAGGGTCTTCACTCTCAGAGGCTGCAGCATCCGGGTTCTGTCAGCTACCAAGACGTCAAAGGGTCCGTCAGCCGCCAGCTGAGGGAAGGTGGACCTGAGCAGGTCCAGGAAGTCGGCCTCCTGTAGTCCACGAGGACACCTCAGCTCCTGCACCGGATACTTCCTGAACACTGAAAGAAAACCAGGTCAGTCGGAGCGAGAAGAGCGGCGTTAAACCAAGAGGTGGTCTGAGCATCACAGTCCCTGATCCTGGTCCGTCCTTTTTCTCTCCTCAATAAAAAATATGGAATAAATTGATGTGAAGCTGAGAGCAGAGAACCACGGAGGAAAGAGGCTACTGTAACTCATGCTAGCATGTTAGCTGTTAGCTCATTCACTACCGTAGTTCACCACCACACCCTGCAGGAAGTCAATACTTCACTATACTTGGACATCTGGATGCAGAATCCACCACTTCCTGTTTACCTCTGGCTGAGAGCACTTTGACCTGCGAGTCCTCCAGGAGCCGAATCCTGAGGTCCACGTGGTTCAGTATGTCGCTGAGCCGAGGACGGCCCAGCCTCTTCCTGTCGGACCCGACACTGGGAAACAACAACATCATCACGTGAGGAGCTGGTTTGACGTCGGCGTCGTTATTGGTAACCGGCGGTTTCTGTTTGTTTTACCTGGCGTTCAGTCCGGTGTGATCGGGGGCGGACGGAGAGTTTTTAGCGGCGACGTCTTTTCTCTGCAGGGGAGGATGATTTGTTTTCACCTGGAGCTTCTCATGAGGCTGAAGAAAGAAAAAACAGAGACTCCATCTTTATTAAAGAAGCTGTTTGTAAGTTTGATCCTCAACTCGCAACATTCCCTCCAGACTGGTCAGTAAACAGCTGCTAATGCTAACGTTAGCTATGTAGCAATAGCATAAACTTTCATATGCCTCCTTTAAATTGAGCTTTCATCAATTTCAAGTCACTAAAGATAGAAATAACTACAGTTCAGACACTGAGCTGTAGCTGGACCAGAGGCCAGTAATTCTCCTTGATCCAGATCCTGGAGCTCCTGATCCAGAATCTTAACGAGCTGCGATCAGCTGAACTACAAAAACACAGCTCACAGGCGGTCTTAGAGAAATGACACAGAGTGACGTGTCTTCACTCACAAACAATCTTTGGCAGAGTCCAGTCAGCAGTTTAACAAACACACTGAAGCTTCAGGTTAATTAATATTAATTAGCCACAGCTGATTGACAGTGCTAGGGAACTGGATCAGAACCAGATCCAGGTATCAGAAGGTGGACTGAGAAGGTGGACTGAGACGTGAATCAGACCCAGTACCTTCAGTCGGATGTAGAGGGCGGAGTTTCCCGCCCCGATGGACCTGATGGTCCCGCAGATCTCCTCTGGTGTCAGAGTCTTCACTCTCAGAGGCTGCAGCGTCCGGCTTCTGTCGGTTGTGAAGAAGTCAAAGGGTTTATCGGCCGCCAGCTGAGGGAAGGTGGACCTCAGCAGGTCCAGGAAGTCGGCCTCCTGTAGTCCATGAGGACACTGCAGCTCCTGCACCGGACACTGCTGAAACACTGGAGCACAGAGAGAGAGAACACGTTCACAGGGACGTTCACTTCAGGTAAACAAACCTTCAAACAGAACGTACCGGGGGTTGAGAGCACATCGGTCTGGGAGTCCTCCAGGATGCGGATCCTGAGATCCAGGTCGCTGCGTGGTTTGCTGCTCCTACGCCTGCGACGCCTCCTGTCAGACTGAACTCTGGGTAACAAGGACATTAAAGGATGAAGGTTAGAAGCAGGTTAATAAAGAAACAACACCATGATTGAACCTGCAATCAACAGCTCAGACGTCGCCTATGGAGACCAGGGGCGTCACAGGGAAAGTAATAACGCATTTCCTAATTTCATATTTTAATTGGCGCAGCATAAACCCGCTCCAACTTGTTTCTAGTAACTGAGCAGTATTACGTCTCATCTGCAGTAGCTGAGAAGTTCAGGTACTCTGTGTGTGGTCTGGTCGGATCAGACGGTGAATCAGCAGCAGCTTCTTTTCTCTGTGACGGATGAAACTCTTCATCAGTCGCTCTGTGCTCCTCCTCCGTCTGAAACATCATCAAAAACAGTCAGATAAATCTGGTGACAGATGTTTAAGATTTCACATTTGTGTGAAATTTTGTCACAATTGATGTGAAGTCTTGAGTAATGGCTAAAATATGTTTTCTGAGGTCACACTGACCTTGACCTTCAAAATATAAATCACTTTTTACTTGAGTCCAGGTCACCTTTAATTGCCAAAATCTAATCAGTGTGTCCAAGTGAATGTACAGGCAAACATACGGCAAAGGTATGGGCAAGCGTATGGATGAACGTCCCAAGAAGGTACGGACAAACATTCAAACAAACGTATGGACGAAGGTACGGACAGACGTACGGATGAACATCTGGATGAAGGTACGGACAGACGTACGGACGAAGGTACGGACAGACGTACGGACGAACATCTGGTAGGAGGTTCGGACAAACGTACGGACGAACATCTGGATGAAGGTACGGACAAACGTACGGACGAAGGTACAGACAGACGTACGGCCGAACATCTGGATGAAGGTACGGACAAACGTACGGACGAAGGTATGGACAAACGTACGGACGAATATCTGGATGAAGGTACGGACAGACGTACGGACGAACATCTGGATGGAGGTTCGGACAAATGTACGGACGAACATCTGGACGAAGGTACGGACAAACGTACGGACGAACATCTGGATGAAGGTTCGGACAAATGTACGGACGAACATCTGGACGAAGGTACGGACAGACGTACGGACGAACATCTGGATGGAGGTTCGGACAAATGTACGGACGAACATCTGGACGAAGGTACGGACAGACGTACGGACAAACATCTGGACAAAGTACGGACAGACGTACGGACAAACATCTGGATGAAGGTACAGACAATCGTACAAACAACCAGAAAAACAACATGCCTCCGGCTCTGACTGTCATCGGCGCAGAGGCATAAAGAAAATCTTAATATTCCTTAATGTTTGGCAGATTGAGGCAGAACGCATCAGAACCTGAATCAGACCCAGTACCTTCAGTCGGATGTAGAGGGCGGAGTTTCCCGCCCCGATGGACCTGATGGTCCCGCAGATCTCCTCTGGTGTCAGAGTCTTCACTCTCAGAGGCTGCAGCGTCCGGCTTCTGTCGGTTGTGAAGAAGTCAAAGGGTTTATCGGCCGCCAGCTGAGGGAAGGTGGACCTCAGCAGGTCCAGGAAGTCGGCCTCCTGTAGTCCATGAGGACACTGCAGCTCCTGCACCGGACACTGCTGAAACACTGGAGCACAGAGAGAGAGAACACGTTCACAGGGACGTTCACTTCAGGTAAACAAACCTTCAAACAGAACGTACCGGGGGTTGAGAGCACATCGGTCTGGGAGTCCTCCAGGATGCGGATCCTGAGATCCAGGTCGCTGCGTGGTTTGCTGCTCCTACGCCTGCGACGCCTCCTGTCAGACTGAACTCTGGGTAACAAGGACATTAAAGGATGAAGGTTAGAAGCACCTGCAAGAACCTGCAATCAACAGCTCAGACGTCGCCTATGGAGACCAGGGGCGTCACAGGGAAAGTAATAACGCATTTCCTAATTTCATATTTTAATTGGCGCAGCATAAACCCGCTCCAACTTGTTTCTAGTAACTGAGCAGTATTACGTCTCATCTGCAGTAGCTGAGAAGTTCAGGTACTCTGTGTGTGGTCTGGTCGGATCAGACGGTGAATCAGCAGCAGCTTCTTTTCTCTGTGACGGATGAAACTCTTCATCAGTCGCTCTGTGCTCCTCCTCCGTCTGAAACATCATCAAAAACAGTCAGATAAATCTGGTGACAGATGTTTACAGAAATTGAAAATAATCTCTCTCCCACCCAGAATCTATTTAATACAGGATCCACATCTTCAATATGAACAAACCAACATGACGGACTGAAATAATTCTGTTAAACAACCAAACTAGAACCACCTTTTTGTGGTTGCATCCCTCCGCCACTCAGACTAGTTTCTGGTAACATCCCCGTTTATCCAGAGTCATGTAAAAACTTAAACATTTGTGTGAAATTTTGTCACAATTGATGTGAAGTCTTGAGTAATGGCTAAAAGATGTTTTCTGAGGTCACATTGGCCTTGACCTTCAAAATATAATCACTTTTTACTTGAGTCCAGGTCGAGGTGAATCTTTTTACCAGATCTTAAGAAGTTCCCTCAAGGTGTTACAGAGATACCGCATTCACAAGGCCAAAACAACGTTTTGAGAGGTCACATGACCCTAACCTTTCACCTTTAATTGCCAAAATCTAATCAGTTTGTCCAAGTGAACGTACAGACAAACGTACGGACGAACATCTGGACGAAGGTACGGACAAACGTACGGACGAACATCTGGACGAAGGTACGGACAAACGTACAAACAACCAGAAAAACAACATGCCTCCGGCTCTGACTGTCATCGGCGCAGAGGCATAAAGAAAATCTTAATATTCCTTAATGTTTGGCAGATTGAGGCAGAACGCATCAGAACCTGAATCAGACCCAGTACCTTCAGTCGGATGTAGAGGGCGGAGTTTCCCGCCCCGATGGACCTGATGGTCCCGCAGATCTCCTCTGGTGTCAGAGTCTTCACTCTCAGAGGCTGCAGCGTCCGGCTTCTGTCGGTTGTGAAGAAGTCAAAGGGTTTATCGGCCGCCAGCTGAGGGAAGGTGGACCTCAGCAGGTCCAGGAAGTCGGCCTCCTGTAGTCCATGAGGACACTGCAGCTCCTGCACCGGACACTGCTGAAACACTGGAGCACAGAGAGAGAGAACACGTTCACAGGGACGTTCACTTCAGGTAAACAAACCTTCAAACAGAACGTACCGGGGGTTGAGAGCACATCGGTCTGGGAGTCCTCCAGGATGCGGATCCTGAGATCCAGGTCGCTGCGTGGTTTGCTGCTCCTACGCCTGCGACGCCTCCTGTCAGACTGAACTCTGGGTAACAAGGACATTAAAGGATGAAGGTTAGAAGCAGGTTAATAAAGAAACAACACCATGATTGAACCTGCAATCAACAGCTCAGACGTCGCCTATGGAGGACCAGGGGCGTCACAGGGAAAGTAATAACGCATTTCCTTAATTTAATATTTTAATTGGCATTAAAATAGTTATTGTAAAAATAATTTATAAATAAACGATTAGTCAATCAATAAATACTGAAGATTCAAAAATGTATGTATGTAATGTGTACAGCATAAAACTCTCATTAAATAAACCTTTTAGAAATACATTCGTTAATTTGTGAATAATTAATAGAATTCGAAAAATTATTTGAAAAGACATTTTAATGTGAATAAATAACTGGATTCCCTCTTCAAGAATTTATAAATCAACTACTAAACCATCAAAATAAACTGAGAGACCCGAAAGGAGAAGCTAACTGACTAAGCTAATCAATTAGCTAACAGGAAAAGCAGCTGGAAAAAGGAGATGGAAATTGAAGAGGAAATCCACGAATGTATTCCATCTTTAAAATGCCTTTTCAAACCTGTTCAAATCATTTTTTTCGAAGTAAGAGGTTGTAATTTCCAGCGTGTCATTGAACACAGCATAAACCCGCTCCAACTTGTTTCTAGTAACTGAGCAGTATTACGTCTCATCTGCAGTAGCTGAGAAGTTCAGGTACTCTGTGTGTGGTCTGGTCGGATCAGACGGTGAATCAGCAGCAGCTTCTTTTCTCTGTGACGGATGAAACTCTTCATCAGTCGCTCTGTGCTCCTCCTCCGTCTGAAACATCATCAAAAACAGTCAGATAAATCTGGTGACAGATGTTTAAGATTTCACATTTGTGTGAAATTTTGTCACAATTGATGTGAAGTCTTGAGTAATGGCTAAAATATGTTTTCTGAGGTCACACTGACCTTGACCTTCAAAATATAAATCACTTTTTACTTGAGTCCAGGTCGAGGTGAATCTTTTTTACCAGATCTTAAGAAGTTCCCTCAAGGCGTTACGGAGATATACAAGGCCAAAACAACGTTTTGAGAGGTCACATGACCCTAACCTTTGACCTTTAATTGCCAAAATCTAATCAGTGAACATACAGAGAAAAGGTATAGACAAAGGTACGGAAAAACGTACGGACGAACATCTGGATGAAGGTACAGACAAACGTACGGATGAACATCTGGATGAAGGTACAGACAAACGTACAAACAACCAGAAAAACAACATGCCTCCGGCTCTGACTGTCATCGGCGCAGAGGCATAAAGAAAATCTTAATATTCCTTAATGTTTGGCAGATTGAGGCAGAACGCATCAGAACCTGAATCAGACCCAGTACCTTCAGTCGGATGTAGAGGGCGGAGTTTCCCGCCCCGATGGACCTGATGGTCCCGCAGATCTCCTCTGGTGTCAGAGTCTTCACTCTCAGAGGCTGCAGCGTCCGGCTTCTGTCGGTTGTGAAGAAGTCAAAGGGTTTATCGGCCGCCAGCTGAGGGAAGGTGGACCTCAGCAGGTCCAGGAAGTCGGCCTCCTGTAGTCCATGAGGACACTGCAGCTCCTGCACCGGACACTGCTGAAACACTGGAGCACAGAAGAAGGTTCAACTGGATGATCATTCAAACCACTTTGATTTCCCTGCTGGATCTCGGAGGCGCTGTGAACGAACCTCTGGCCGACAGGACCTCGATCTGAGAGTTCTCCAGGATGCAGATTCTGAGATCCACTTGGCCCTGGGATTCGCTGACCCGAGGTTTGCCAATGCTCCTCCTGTCAGACTGAACTGTGGGAGGCAATAACCTGAAAAATAAAGATGAGCAGTCGAGTTAGAAACATTACTGTACTCCACAGGGTGTCCACATACTTTTGTCCATGTAGTCTATGATAATGTGCCTTGTAACCTTGATGCTATTTCATAATCCAGCTGTGTGATGTGATCCTGCTCCTGTAGGGGGGTCAGCGCTTGTCGCTCACAGGACTCCTCCTCCTCCTGCTGCTGCTCCTCTTCTCCTTCTCCTGTATGTTCTCCAGTGTAGCAGAGGAGACCCACACTCCCATCATCCTCCACACCTGGACACACATTCACACTTTAATCATGTTTTTATGATTAACTGAAACTGTGAAACTGAAACTGGTCTTAACTTTAAACAGGATTTTCATACTCAGCTCGATTTTGTGCTGCTGCTCCTCTTCATGGAGTTCTCCTCCACCTCCTCCTCCTGACACCTCCGCTGGTATTGGCTCAAAGATGGGAAACAGCTGCTCGTCATCTGGATCAGAGGTTTTATTTTAGATAATTTAGTTCAAATCGTTGTTTTTCTTGGTAAAAAACAAACATTGTTAGTTGTTGATAGTGGAAACAAATAGAAATAATATCAAACCATTTAATTAAAATACCACTTGCAGTTATTACACTGTAACTGCTGATCCATGTATTAATACCTACAGTTCATGTCAGAAACATAAATATAAAAACCCTATTTTTCAAGGATGTTTTCTAACACCTGTTTTTTTTCTTGCAGCAGACGAGTCACTGAAAGAAAATACGGTTGGATGTTAAATATATCAAATATCCTTTACTTACATAAAACACCAACACCACAAAGTAAAACACTAAAACAAAATACTACTAACATATAATACTACTTCTGCCTAAGTAAAAGTACAGAAGTATAAAAAGCTGAATGTTCCCAGAGAGTAAAAAAAATACTAGTTATTAGCATTTTACTGGTGCAGCTGGGTTTTAACTACTTTACATATACTTTATTAATTGAAAACAGATTTAACAGAAAATGAATCAGCAACTGTTTTGACAATCGATTTCATCGCTTGATGTCATCCGATTGGAATATTCAAGTCAAAAACACTTACATATGATATACTTATTAATATATTATATTATATTTGAACATAGGTAATTCCTACGGAAGAGGATTGGGGCCACGTGAATTTTTTTTTTTTTTAATTCAGACTTTAAACTTAGAATTAATTTTTTTAAAAAAAGATAAAAAGATAAGAAATCACAAGTGGCACTAACCTTCTTCCGTAAGTTTTGCTTATAAGAACTTATGTTTCACTTCAGCATTTTACACAATGAGTTTAAATTCAGGCCGAATTGATGAGTCATGACAATAGTTGTTGCAGAGTCCTCAGGTGTCGGCGGGTTCACCGTTACACAAAGCATCGTTCAACTAACGGTTTTTGTGAACGGGGTTCGTCATCAGGCGCCATTTTTACAAACTGTTGTGAGTTTCCATATAATTCTCCCACCGACCTGTTGTCTCTACTTTGATCTCCGAGTGCAGGAGAACCTCCAGCTGTCTCCTCTGCCGGTCGATCTCCTGCCTGAAGCCCGAAGCCTCCTCCTCGTAGTCGGCTACGGTTCTCTCCACGACCGCTAAGATCTCCTGCGCGGCCGTCGTCAGTTTCTCGGTGACGATGACTCTCAGTATCGCCGCTTTGGAGACGTTACAGAGACCGTCCATAGCCTCGCGCTCCATAACGTTACCGTGGGTCCAGGTGAGATTCACCACCGTTATTCGGGCAGAAACTGGCGGGGAATGTTTGGTGCGGATGTTGCCCCCCGCCCCCGGCTGTTGGTCCGGGCACAAATGCCGTCCCACTAGAAACATTAAAGGAACCATTCGACGGAAGATGGTGCTGAGAATTTTTTATAATATCACAGACCTTTTGTAGTAATTTTATTAGTAATTTCAGCTCTTCTGTCACTGGTATGAATATTATTATTAGTAAATAACACCCATTGTAGTCATATTCTTAATTTGAAATTTCAATTATATATTATATTGTATTATATTATATTATATTTACTATATATAGCTATTGTATATAGTTACATATAAGCTTTTCACTAACATAGAAACTGTAATTTTACTACGCTTTCTTTCTCAATAACTGTAACAGATTTATTTTGTAATTTAATTACATAATCCTATAGTTACTCCAATTCACAGTCTAGACAGATTTCAACACAAAGTATTTGTAATATTATTATTAGTAAATAACTGTCATTGTACTTACATTCCTAATTTGAATTTCTTTATACAAATTACAATCACATATTACATTATATCTTCTACTATACATATATAGCTACATATAAGCTTTTCACCAACATTTTGAGAAGAAACTGTAATGTTATTACAATTTTTGTACTGTAACTGAACTGTTTTATTTTGTAATTTAATTACGTAACCCTATTACATGTAACATTTACTCCCCAACACTGTCTGTGAATATACGTACATATGGACAACTAATACAACAACCCAAGATAATGATTTACAATAATAATATTTTTTTCAAGATGAATCAATATAAGTTCATAACAAAAAATATTTCATATCTAAAAAGTGCCAAGACGTGCTGTACTAACCTCATTCGACAGAAGGATGTGCCAAAAGTCACAGATTCATATTTTTACTGCTGATTTCTTCTCACTGTGACTCAGTCGGAGGAAACGTTTCTGACAGCTTTGCTGGCAAAGCCGCGGGGAAATTCACCTTTGACTCAAACACCAAACCTAAGGGGAGGGAGAAAAGGGAGCGGGTGGAGGGAGGGCGGGAGAGGTCAAAGGTCTGAGTGAAAGAAGGGACAAGAAGACTGGGGAAATATGGATGTCAGATACAAAAATGTCATTTTTCAACACAATGAGCATCACAAATGTTATTTCACCCCACCCCCACAGTTTGCAAAATAATTTCACCCTTAAAAAAAAGTTAAGAAAGTGATAATATTTCATTATTGGTGTTTAACAATCACCAAAAATGAATGATGCTGTTACAGAAAACAAGAATATGAGCGACGTCAGTGGAAGAACCCCAGGCACAAAATGACTGACTGTGTTTTTTGTGTGTTGGGGGCTTGTTGTGTGTGTGTGTGTGTGTGTGTGTGTGTATGTGTGTGTGTGTGGGTGTGTGTGTGTGTGTGTGTGTGTGTGTGTGGGGGGGTGTTTATAAACATTATGATCATGATTTCATCCCACCAGTCTGCAGAGTCAGATGATCTGACTGATGACTCTCTCTCTCAGCTTTAACTTCACATTTTTGTTAATAGTAGTAAATCTCTCAAATTTAGTTTTTACTGACTCAAGTTTTTTTCTCAGGACGGAGCAGATGTCCAGCAGAGGGGTAAATATTTATTATTATTATTATTATCATTATCATTATTATTAGTATTAGTTGTCACCTTTCTATAGCACTCTTTGATACATAAGTTCATTTCAACACAAAGTATTTTTTTAATATGAATTATTAGTAAATTACTTTTATTGTAGTCACATTGTTAATATGAATTTTCACACAAATTTAGATTTATTGTGTATTTACATACATTTTACATGATTTTTACACTCAAACATTTTAATTAATAAACCAATGATTGTAATAATTTGTATGAGGAATAATAATAAATTTATTATATTATTACTGTGTAAACTAAAGTTACAAAGTATTGCATCATTAATCTACAACTGATTTTTATTTTTGCCATTGTTTTTATATTGTTTTTAAAATAGCTGTATTATTGTTATTTTATATTTCTAACTTTGTTTTACTTCCTGTCTCTTTAAAAAAATATTTACATTTTTTAACCAGTTTAATTTAATTTTTTTAAATAACTTTTTTAAAAGCTTTTTGTGTATGAAAAGTTTATTTATTATTATTAGAAATATAATTTTAACAATTAGATGGTTATTAATGTTAAAAAAAATGACTTATTGTTTCAGTCTGCATCAGAACTCTTTTGATGTATTCAGCCATCAGCTTATTATTTAATTATGTAACATTCCTTTCTAACTGATCATAGTGAGTGGAAATGAACTGCATTATTGATTATTGATTTCCAGGAGATTGGACTGATGAGCGGCCTGAATCAAAACCCTGCAGCACCGACCTGTGGTGAGTCTCACAGCTAAATAAATAAATAAATATATATATACTGTACATAGATTGTACATTTTATTTTTCTGTTGTTTTTCTATATTTGTAACATTTCAGGTAAACCTCAGGTGTTTGACTGGTGTCCATCGCCACAGCAGCAGCAGTACTTAAACCTCACCAGCTGGGGGCGAAACAACACGACACAGACTCAGACCACTGCTGTTGTGAGTGTGTGTGTGTGTGTGTGTGAGTGTGTGTGTGTGTGTGTGTGTGTGTGTGTGTGTGTGTGTGTGTGTGTGGTCAAACTCTCCCTTCAAGGCAATATGTTCCCCTTCTAACAGAATCAGTGTTAAATGTTCCCAGGGAGTCAGAGGCCTTCACCACCTCCAGGCTTGGAGTCTAATGTGTCGAACAGACTGTGGTGTAACGTTGCCTTCAAATGCTGTCAGGAAAAAACAGCTGCAAGGAAAAAACCTACAAGCTTCTGTCTCTTTATGTTACAACCAAGGCTGAATTAGCAACTGAGCAAAGTTAAACAAGCTGACAGGACCAGATCACTGAAATACAGCATCTTAATAATTTAATTCTCTCTAAATATTAAATGAAAATAAAATAAACATAAAGAAAATAAATGCATTATATTGCTTTAAAATCAGAATCAGGTTCATTGTCAGGTAGGTTTTCACATACATGGAATGTGCTTTGGTGGTTTGGTTCATAACAATAAACATAAATCAAGACAGAAAAAAATATAACAAACAATGAAATAATATTAAAAATAATTTGAAAAAATGAACAGTAAAATATTTACAATAAAAATGTGCAAAAAATATTATGAAAAATGTAAATACAATGTGCTGATGTATAATGACATTAAAATACCAAAATCTAAATTTTCATTTTCATGTCTAATATAATAAAAAATACAAACACTGTATTTTCTCTTTCTCTGCAGTCATCCGTGCATCCTCTCGTCCCTCTCCTCCTCTACAGTGACAGACATTTCCCATCAGCCTCCCCGCTCACTCAGCCAATCAGCACATCTGCTGCCGACCCGGCCGACGCCCACTCCAGGTCACACCCCTATTACCACGGCAACAGTGTCACCAGGTGAGTTTTTTTTTTTTTTTTTTTTTTTGGTTAAGGAAAATCTGCCAGAATAATACAAGTACTACTGCAGTCACTAGTAACATGAGTACTACGAAAACTACTACTGATACTGCAAATACAGTTACTGTTCTACTACAACTGCAAAAATGTTACTAGATAATATTGAAAGTACTAGTACCACAGCTCACAAGGCTACTGCTGTTACTTCTAGTACTTCTAAACCTGCTACTACTACGACTACAGCTGCTGCAAGTATTACCACTGCTATTATATATTATGGAGTATTAGGGTCACATTGAGGAAAAAATATCCCAAATTTTTTGTAATAATTTTACAAGAAAAAAATCAGTCTGCTTGTGATATTCCTAAAAATTACGTCTTTTTCTCTTGAAATTTTTCATTTTTAATTCTTGAAATATTAGACTATTGAATTTTTCTTGAAATTTCAGATTTCCTTTTTTCCATCAGTGTGTCCCTGACACTCCATCGTTGCCTGTGTCCCTGTGTCCTGTATGTCTCTCTCTCTCTCTCTCTCTCTGTCCCTTGTGTCTCTCGCCCTCGGCAGCAGACAGGTGGTGAAGAAGCCTCTGAACGCCTTCATGCTTTACATGAAGGAGATGAGACACAAAGTGCTGCAGGAGGGACGAGAGAGAGAGAGCGCCGCTATCAACCGCATCCTGGGACGCCGGGTGAGACAGAGCAAAAAACCATGATGACCTCATTGTGATGTCACAGTGATGTCATTGGGTTTGGACTGGCCTGTGGGGGCTCACGCAAGATGGTGACAGAGCGGCTGAGAACCAGTTCAGGATTTTCTCACCAGACTCAGACTTAAACAAGTACAGTCTTTGTTTTGAAAACTAGTCAGTTCGCTCTCCGTGCTTAATCTCCTGATGAAGTACTTTGGGAAAAAAAGGCCAACATCAGTCACTTTAGCATTTTAGCTAGCAGCAGTTAGCTAACTAGCAGGTGAACAGCAACTGCATTAAGGAGAATATTTACTGGCTAAAAATTTTCAGAAAATGGACACGGAGCCTCCAAAAGAAAACTTTATCAACACAGTCAGCAGCTGTAATTAGCAGCTCATGGAGGAAAGTGAAGTATTTAAAATCTCTATGGCGCCCAGTTACCGTAATTTTGCCTCAAAAATCGTGCTACTTCTCAGAGTCATAACTCAGTCAAATATGAACACAGACATGAAACACAGTCACTATCTTCCAGAATAAATAAACATCTGCAAACCTGCTCAGAAATCTTACAAAAAAGTTGCTCTTTCTAACTGCAGAAGATGTTTTTAATTTTATGTCAGTATCATGCTGATCCAGTGATATTTGTCTGAACACCCATGGGTGCACTGAAAACAGGACATGCTAATAGCCAATTTGGCTAATAGCATGTGACTTTTTCACGTCATTTTGTTTGATTTTAACTTTTTGTCTGTTTCCGTCAGTGGCACGCTCTGTCGCACTCTGAACAGTCCAAATACTACGACCTGGCCCAGAAGGAGAGACTGCTCCACATGCAGCTTTACCCTGGATGGTCCGCCAGAGATAACTATGTATGTAACATTATGTCCATCACAATGTTTAGGCTACATACTGTACTCTGTGTGTGTGTGGTGGGTAGTTTCAGTTTCTTCCGTTTCTTCTCTGTCCAGGGGAAAAGGAAGAGGAAGCGCAGCCAACAGCCCTCAGGAAGCTGCTCCAGGCTCAGTTAAAAGGAAAGAAAAATACTTCCTTATCTTTAATTTCTTTTAATTTAATTTAAGCTCTACTCATAGCTGTTGTGGTTTTGGCAGAAACTTGAAATAACTCATCATTCATCAGTCTGTCCTTTTTCTGCCATTTATTTGGGTGCACGCCTCGAAAATTCATTCATTCTATTAGGAATTATAGTTATAGCACAGCTGGGAATTACTGAACAAAATGTGACATGAATATCAATAAATGTGTGTAATAAACAATTGTACTGGTTTTCCATCATCATACTTTCATACTTTGGCAAGTATAATTGTGAATGTATTAAATAAGATTCTATGTGTTAAAAAGTCTTAAGTTTAATTTGGTGAAAAGTATTCAAGATTAAATAATTGTTTATTAGCTGTTTTCACCTGATTTGTCCTAATTGACATTTTAATTAATTAGAATAATTAATAATTCATTAAATATTAATTTCCAGCAAGAGTCAGTCAACTTGAGGCATAAAACATGTTTGTTCTTCAAGAGATAAAAAAATAAATCTATATTTGTCTCAGTGTGCTCACTCTTTATCTTTTGGTGTTCGTACCAGTGCAATGTCAAAATAAAAGTACTTAAGTATTATCAACTTCCTGTAGTTAAAGTATCAAAGTGAAAGTCCTCCAAGTATCTAAATGAAAGTAAACACAACATCAACCATCAGCAGCAGCTGTTGACTGAAAATAAATCTTTTATTATCAAACATCTGGATTGTGACACTGCTCACGTCAACATGTACAGATGTGAGTGTTGCAGTGTCGAACATCAGGTAATATGTTTACAAAATTAACTCTGTACTACAACAACAACAACAACAACAACAACAACCTTCATTAATCCGACTTATATTCAGCAGCATTTTACAGGGAGTTTTTGGTTGAATCTAACGTTAACAGGCAGTTTTTGTTTCAATAAAAAAAAAAACACAACATTAAAAATACTTTACACTTTACTTGAAAATATAACTTAACAAAGATCAAGTACTGGAAAACATATACAACAACACTCATAACTTACACTCATTAACTTTCATTCAGATGACGAGTTAGCACTAGGAATGCTATGTCGCTAGCTTTGTTAGCTCTGTTAGATTTGGTTCAAAGCATGAAAGAATCCCAGACGTTTAAACAGTCAAGTTGGTAAATTTATCTTTCATGTACGCTAAACATTTTTATCACTTTAGTTGACATTAATCTTCAAAACAATAGTTTAGCGTAACGAGCTAGCATGTGGCTACTGCACTCAATTAAATAGCACAAGCTTTCACTCTCACTATGATGAAAACCCAACTCAAGTTAACACAAGGAAAGCTAAATGGCTAGCTTCCACGGCATTACTCATCAACACAATTGTTTAGCATAATTAGCCAGCATGTGGTTAACTAACCCAATTCAACAATTTAAGCTTTCACTCTCACATTGATGTTAGCTTTGCGAATGTTAAACAACTAGCAGTTCAGCTTTCTTTTTCACGTTAGCTTTGGTCCTAAATCTCTAGTTAGCTTAGCTTCGCTGGCATTACTCATCAACACAGTTGTTTAGCATAATTAGCTAGCACGTGGCTAACTTACCCGATTCAACGACGTAAGCTTTCATTCTCACATTGATGTTAGTTTTATGAATGTTAAACAGCTAGCAGTTTAGCTTTGGTCCTAAATATCTGGCTAGCTCACAAACCAAAATGAAGTTACTGATTTAACAATTGGGTCGATTTGTCTTTGTTGAAATTCTTAGGCATTTTCTACATCTGAGAAGATAAAATAAGCTCAGAGTCGATGATAAATCCACATTTGTTGAATTCTGACTTCAGGAATCACAGCAACAGGTGGTTTTTGTCTTATTATTATTATTTGATCAGATATATATAATTTAATGATCATTTTTGTGAGTAGAAAACTTTTTTTTGTTTATTTTATTAAATTAATTTATTTGAAGAAATCAAGGGAATTTCTCAAACTCAGATATAAATTATTTTAAGTATCATATTGTATTTACTTCACCACCTTCGTCCTTTGATGTAATTGTAATCTTCTGTCAATGTAAACGTAGTAACACCTTGTCTGTGCCTCCTCATCTTCGTGGTGTCAGTGCCTCCTCGTCCTCAGTAACCAGGACAGAGGTGGAAATGTTGCTTCTAATAAATAAACTGATGTTAAATCTCTCCGTCCGTCTGTACGTCCGTCCTGTTGCACAGGAGTCGGGCTGGAGGAATGCAGTTTCATCAGCTCAGGTCACATATCTCCTCCCCCCTCTGTCTCCTCACTCGTCCCTCCCTCCCTCCACCATCCTGTACCTCTGTCTGCAGGACGAAGGCAGGGCCACCGGCCACGAGAACACGATGGGAACGGTCGTCTGGACGTTCTTCTCCAGGAAGTTGAAGATCATGTTCCACCACGTCCTCGACAGGTAGTTGTTTGGAGCCTGACGCAACGCCTGAACAGAAAAACACAGAATTAATGATGTTAAATTACTAGAGGTGAAAGAATTAATCAACTCATCCGTTCATTCTTCCAGCAAAAATGGCAAATTTTATATAAGTTTAATACTTCCAGCAGAGGGCAGCGTGAGGTCATGGCAGTGTGTGTGAGTGTGTGTGTGTGTGTGTCCACATACATGCGTGTTGGCCATGGTGTGGTACCACCAGAAGATCCTGGTGGTGATGAAGTAGGCGATGACCACGTCAATGCTGTAGTGCTCGTGGCCGATGAGGATGCAGACGACCCCGGAGGCGCTGAGCAACCAGCAGGTCCAGTGATACCACCACATCCACCGAGGAGAGTCTGAAAACACACACACACACACACACACACACACACACACATTACATCACAACGTGTTCATGTAGCACTACGGTTTATCACACCGCTCAGTGTTTCCCTTTTCTGCGTTTTTTGTCTTAGAAATGTTGAATTTATTGAATATTCATGCGAGTTTTTCCATAAATAATCAATAAAGAACCAATAAAATGTACAAGGTGAATAGAATCAATCAAAATGAAAATTTTGTACTCACACTCTTTGATGAAGAGGTAGGAGAGAGTCAACATGACAGTGTGACCGCTGTACAGGAAGTCTCCACACATCAAGTGAGAGCCAGTCATCGACAAACCTGAACACAACAAACACACAACGTTAGACACAATATGAAAAACCTGCCAGACACTGAACTAATATGATATAAATTTTACAATAAGACTAACCTTATAAAGGATTTATAAACGGTTTATAATCAGGTTATTAATTCAGTTGTTAACACTTTATAAATCACGAATAAACAAGTTACTGGTGACTTTTAAAAGGAGCCTTATTGTAAAGTGTAAAACACATCATTAATCGTTTATTAATGAGTTACAATTAGGCTTCTTTTACCAGTTATTGTAAGATTAATGAGTAGTAAGCATTAACTTGCCAAATACTGAGCTGCATCAATGTATAAAAACTGTTATAACTTGTTTATAATTGTTCATTTATCATTTATAAAGTGTTAACAACCAAATTAATAACCTAATTATAAACTTTTCTAAGGGTAGTCTTATTGTGAATTTAAGTTGACATTAATCTGCATAACAAAGGTTTAGCATAATGAGCTAGCATGTGGCTACTGCGATCAATTCAATGACACAAGCTTTCACTCTCACAATGATGAAAACCCGACTCAAGTTGAGGAAAGTAACTCGCAGTTTCAGCTTTGGTCTTAAATCTCCAGTTAGCTTAGCTTCGTTGGCATTACTCATCAACACAGCTGTTTAGTATAACTTACTAGCATGATGCTAACTAACCCAATTCAATGACACAAACTTTTATTCTCACACTGATGTTATTTTACACAGTTAGCAGTTTTTTTCCATTAAAATGTATAAAATGTAGTTAAATGACACATTGAGTTCAAACAGACAGTTTGGGTTTTACCTCCTCCGGAGATCAGCCTCAAAATCCTCCAGATTTTCCCTGTTGAGTCGTTGTACAGCTGCTCACACACAAAGACACAATGAACAAGATTTACAACAACAACATTTAACAATAATGCACAGTGTGTAAAGTAAACAGGTGTGTTTTTACCTTCGGAGCGCAGACCATATGTTTCCCAGGTACAGGCAGGGTGGTGATGTACATGGTGACGCAGCGATACATGTAGAGAGTCCCGATGAGGAAGAAACAGCGACGACCCACGATAGCTCTGCAGAGAGGAAGAGTTATATAGAGTTTGTCTTTCCTCCTCTGTGATTGGTTCATATTCCTCTACAGTCCAGGTTATTACTTGGCCAAGTCTGAATACAAACAGCTGATGCAGCAGCAGCAGAAACTCATTTACCTTAGAAAACAGTAAAACTCAGTAACAGGTGTCATGGCGGACTGTCAACAGTAAAACAGTAAGAGACACTTGTATTAAAATGACTTCTTCTATAAACATAACTGTGATGGAAACAGAAGTTCCTGCTCTCAGCTTGAATCATATAAAATAATTTTAAACCAAACGACCAGTGTGATAAAACAAAAAAAATCACCAAAAATAAGCCTTAAAATGAAAAAGTACCTATAGATATGAAAAACCACGTTTAATTTTATAGATTCATTTAAGTATTCTAGATTGTTTTATCTCATTTTTACTTTACCTCAATGTCACTTTTTTCCAACGTTGTAAAACTTTAAACCTCGTCTTTTAAAGAACTTTGTAACTGTGTTTTGAAAGGTGCTACTTATATAAAGCGTATTAATTAATATTTTATATGATTAGAATTATTAAATGTGATCCTTTGAAATGTCAAAATTCTTGGTTAAAATTGGAAACTCAGAGTCAACTTTCTGACGCCTCCACAGAACGACAGCACAGTCCAACTGATAAGAACATTTACATAAACACAAATCATGAACTGTGTTGGTCACCTTCAGTTTCAGAACAGGATATTTTACAGTGTGAAAATAAACTCAACATTCTCTGGTTGACAAATGCTAATATTTCTAAACGCACCACTTCATGGAATTTCTTGTTAAGTCAATCCGCACTTAAATTAATGGATCGTTACCAGCTAAACTTTACTGCTCTGGTACTCGTCATGCTGTACTTGTATGTGGATGGGTTGACAATAGTTTGTGTTTCTGTGGTTCCAACATCTCCAACAGAGTGAGACGTCTTCTCTCTAGAGGGTGGCATCTTGTCAATAATTTAAAGTGATCAGCTTAAAGGTTTATTAATCAGGACCTTCAGTATTTGGATCAAGTGGCTCATGATAAATAGCGTTTGACAGATTTAGAATCTACAGCTGTTATTTCAATGTGACAGATATTTAATCAATATTTAGGTGACTGTGGGAAACAGCTGATCGTACTTGTGTTTGAGGAAGATCCACTGGACGAACCAGAGTCCGACCAGGATCAGCCCGTTGACCTCTGTGACGGTGAAGGCCCAGGGCACCCGGTCCACATAGTCGAAGAATTTGTCGGGCAGAGGCGGGCTCACCGACTTGTCAGGGACCCTCTCGTGGACGATGGTGATGACGACGGTGGTGAAGATGAGAGTGAACAGGGCGTAGAGGAAGGCCACGCCCGTCTTCCACCACTCCTTCGGGAGGTGGTTCGCCCGCTCCTCCGACACGGTGATCTTGACGTAGTCGCAGTGTCGCCGCAGCCCGCTGCTCAGGGAGTGGATCAGCTGGTTCTGTTGCAGCAGATTGCTCAGTCTGCTGCGCTCCTGTTTGTTTTTGCCGTCGTGGGCGTCGGCGGGCGGTGTCGGCAGGGAGGTGAGGCGAGTCAGGTTGCCGTTAGCGACCCTCGGAGGATGATTAGGCGTAGGGGGATTTGTTGTGGTTGCAGTAGCTTCCACATGAGGTCGAACATCTTCATGGTCCTGGATCAGTTCTGACGCCGCCATTGATTGATTGTTTTCCCTTTAGGAAGTCTGAATGATCACCTGATCAATAGGTTTTCACGAGATCTCAGTTCCACAAATATTCCTCTATCAGGTATCGACTGCTCCTGTCTGTTTCAGGTGTGACCGGTAATCCAGTATCAGCGATCAATATCAGGCATCAGTATTCCAGCAGCAGTGATCGACTCCTTTGGTCTGGTCAGGCAGTGATCACAAGGTCAAGGATCACAGATACAGACAAATCAATGACCTGATCAATAGCAGCAGACAAACCGGTGAGGTCACAGAGCAGGCAGGTGATTGGTCGGTCCGGTCTGGTCAGGATTATTCAAACACAACAAACCTGAAAAACAACAACAAAGATTTTCAGTTTCAGTTTCCTGTTTCCCACATTTGGAGGTTAAATGAACTGAATCAATGACCAATATTCACAAGAGGTGTTTTGTTCCAACAGGTCGACTAACTGTATAAATTTCTAGTTTTTAATCAAAACTTTAAATTTAATCAATAATGAAATGGATCACTAGTTCCAGCCATATTTTACAGGAAGGGTAAGTGAAGTAATAAAATTTTAAAACAGAAAATACCATTAAAAAAAATAGTGAGTTTCTCTTCCTAATGCAAAACTTAATTTACATTTTCAGATACATTCAGAAAATCTCACTTTTCATTCACTAAGCTTTATTTTCCACTTCTCTCTTGTTAGATGATCACGTTTCTTCCAGCCTCACACACTGGCTCTGTAAACTGGTTCTGTGAAGTTATTCAGACGCAGCAGCACTGACATGCGGGCGGTCTTCATTAGTGAATGGAAGGAATCGTGAATGAACCACACACCTGCAGACACCCGACTCTACTGAAATCTACTGGAATTCTCTTATCTCTGAAGATAATCAAGTTCAGGTGGGGTACTGACCTGCTTCACACACACACACACACACACACACACAGACACAGACACAGACACACACACACACACACACACACACACTGATGTTGTCTTGAGTGTTTGACTTTTAGTAACCTGCGGAAGACACTCCTTGTAAAAACAGAAACACACCCACACCCACACACACACACACACACACACACACACGTGTTTGACTTCTGAACAGAACGAGTTCAGCAGAGACGTCCTCATAATCAAACAGAGCAGCTGAGATCTGCATTAAAAGCGGTTTGTTTTCTTTAACTTCCTCTTGATTTCACTTATAAACTTAATTCTTCCCGTCTGTGATTCCTTCACTGTAATTATCACTTCAGGCTCGAAAACCCATTTACGATTCATACACTGTTCGTGGTTTTAAAAGCACCTGCTCATCTGTCTACATGATATCCATACACTGATTGCTGAGATTTAGGTCAAGACAAGAGCAAACAACCACATTTAAACCAGTCTTGGCCATTTACCTCCATAACTCTGCGCTGCAGAAATCATGGTGTCATCTCTGATAATAATCTCACCCTAGATAAACTTCTGCTGCCACGATTTCAACTCTGAACGTGACCAGATGTCACAGGTCCTGGCTACCTGTTGCTTTTACAATCTGTTTTCAGCTTTTATTGATGACTTACAAAACCCTGAGGTGTGTTGTCTAAGGCTATCTATCGTGACCTCTGGTCGTTCCGAGGTCTAGACTGATAAACAGGTGAAACAGCAAACTCTCTCATCTTTTAAATCCACATTTTAAAAAAACAAAACATGTTTAAACTTGCTTTTCAGTAATTTAACTTTAAGTATTTTGTTTTTATAATGTTATTAGTTTTATTGCTCTCGGTTTGTTTTATTCTCTTTGCTTTTTAAAATCACTTTGGAAATGTGTTTTCAAAAAGTAAATGTTTTATTGCCTAATTGAAATAAAATGAATAAATAAATAAATAAATAAATAAATAAATGCTTGCTAATCATTCCCTTGATAAATTAAAGACACCACTTTAAAAAAATAAAGGGAATAAAGTTGATTCTTCGTATTCTACTGCAAACTTCACTTATATTTCAACAATTTTTGCAGCTGTTTGATAGAGTCACTTTTCATTCGTTTAACTTTATATTCTATTAATAAACTGTCAGATGATCAACCTCAGACAATAACTCTGTGACCTGGTAATTCTTAGTTTGTAAATCAGAGGAATTGTTAATGAAGTTCTGAACTTTACGCAGGAATTTTATCACCACAATCAATTCAGTTCATCTGAAGCTCTGAGAAACTGTTGGATATCTGTCACTACTTTCTGAAATGTAATAATCTGAACAGTGAATTGAAAAGAGGGGAAAAGGTAACGTTGTACTGATAAACTGAAACTGCTGCAGATTGAGTTAAATTGTGAGTCACGTCTCTCTCTCCTGCTAAATACCTCCTCTCCCTGCCGCCTCTCTCACAACATTTCACACACAAGTGAATGTGTGCTGATGTATAAGTGAGTGTTTGACTGTCTGTTGGCGTCTCAAGTTAAGCCTTCCTGCACAAACACACCAGTCAAATGCTTTTAAAAACACTTTCTGTTTGTGCACCTGAAACCTGACAGGCAGGAATATTTAGACAGTGACACTAAATGAAAAGCTGTTTTATAATCAAGAGTCAGATTAATTACTGCCAGGAAACATCCTGTACCTTCTTACGCAACAACTGTGATGCAAGAGAATACATGTAATTACAGGTGTGTGCGTTTTAATCTCTACAGGTGCCTAGGTTCTAGATTGTAGATTTTGTTGTTAAACGAAGTGTCAGAAAATAGTATAAAAAGCCCATTTATAATTTCCCAGACCCCAAGGTGATGTCTTCAGATTCCTCATTTTATCCAACCAATAGTTGAAAACTCCTCACATAAAAGCAGTAAAATTAATGTGTAAATAAGAGAATAAGTACAGAAAACAACTTATATGACCAACTGTAATTACACTGTGCCTGGGTTGACGCTTTAAGTTTAATTCCAAGCCATGTGATAAATAAATGCCTTCGCAACAGCTAAAACATTCATTTTAGTTGTTAAAGATGTTGTTCAGCTGCTGCAGTCGTCCACATAGCTCAACACTTCAGTAACACGTGCTAGTATTTTGATTTCACCAGCCGTTTAGTGACGTTGCAGTGTTAAATACTCATCTCTAACCGGCCTTGTGCATGGTTTCTCATGTCACATCCTGTTTACAGCCCTAACAGAATAAGACAGACATTAACCCTTAATCAAATTGAGACCATGGGAATTCAATTTCTCCAAATTAGTGCTGATTCATCGACACAAGACAGACACGGCGGAGAGTGTTACAGAGCTGCAGCTAGCAAACTGTTCATTTTGTCCAACTGATAGCGAAACAAGGGTGGCAACTAAGGTTTATTTACAGTATTGATTCATTTCTTTATTGATTTGGGTTGTTAGGAGTCAGGAAACAGTGAAAAATACTCATTCACAACTTCTCAGAGCTGAAGTTTCCAAACTATTTTTGTCCAACCAACTGTTCAAAACCTAAAGATATTCAATTACGATGGTATTAATGTATGAAAGCAGCTCAATCTAGTAAATGTGTCCTTTCTGCCTAATAAATGATTTCAAAATTAATCGATAATTAAAATAGTTGCACATTACATGATGTGTAGTCATTTAAAAATTACGGCCAAGTACTCAATTCTCCACATGTGAAAATCTGGAAGCTGTGAATTTTTAGGGAATTGATTAAAACAATCGGTTAACTGGTTAGCTAATCATTTTAGCACTAAATAAAAGTAACATAAAAAAGGTATTCCTTTGACCTTAAAGCACTCACATTAAAGACGTGGAAAGAAATGAATGTTTGGTTGGCCTATGTTCACCAAATTAATACAAAATCATTATTTTTCTGTTGATCAACTGTTCAGTTAATCGGTTTAGCATAAACTAAATGCAACAATGTAATTTTATAATGAGGTGTAACAGAGAAAAGTTCCTCCTCACGTGTGATAGGTGGATATTTTCTGGGCCTGTTTGCACCAAGTAAATGACTTAAACTTGAAAACTGATTATCTGTGGATCGATAATTCGACTAATTCACGTATTGTTTAAACACGTTCGTCTTTCATGTAGGCCTACCACTAAATAAAAGGAAACGCTTAGTACGCGTCCTTCATTTTGACGCAGACAGGAAGACATATATAAACACACCTGTCGGACGGTGTGTGACACGTTCCTGCTTCTTTCCCTTTAAGTCTAAAAGCAGGTAAAAAACAACAAAACAACAAAAACAAACACTAACGGTTTGTTTTCTCTTCGTGGAGACGAACAGAAACAAACTCACCGCTTCAGCTGCAGCTTTTCACTTCTTCGGCTCAGTTCTCGTCACTTGTTCGACTCCGAAATCTCCTCTTTTTTTTCTCCTTCTCTCTAACTGTGAGCGCGTTCTCGGTTTCTCCGTCTGAGCGCGAGCGCGAGTATCGGTGAAGAAAACCCCGCCCAGCCTCCCGCCATTGGCTGGTTAGAATCCAAATATGGTTCGGCAGCTTCCGTCGACGCAGCCCCTCCCCCCTCCGCGCCCTGCTGACTCACCTCCGGAGGTGACGGCGATGATCCACCTGAGTTCGGCTCTCCACTCGGGATTTTCCGTAAAATGGAGGGAAATCGTAGAAATAAGATCGTTTCGTAGGAAAAGACAAAAAAAAGTAAAATATAGGATTAGTAAAAAACTAAAATTGTCGTTGTTAGTCAAAATTTATCCTTTCTTACTCATTTAATTAAAAATAAAATAAAATTGAATTAATTAAATTATGACATAAAATATCAACAATTTGACTCACTAAATTATAGCAATGAATGAATGAATGAATGAAATTTTTATTATGTGTCCAGACCACATGAGCTTACAAGACACACTAAAATTCATTTAAAACATAACTGTTTATTTATATTATTTATTATTATCCAATGACATAAGTCAAAATGTTTGTATAAAATCTGATACTATTAGGAGATGATGGCAAAGCACAATTGTGACTTTTAAGTTCATATTGTAATATTTAGTCAAAATAATGAGATAGTCAAACTCTTATGTTATGACATACTACACATGTTTCACATGTTTCAATTACAACGTGGTTAACTTTGATTCATACCTCTGTCGAAATATCAAACCAGTAAGTCAACATTTTTGCATTCAGTAATTTTATATTTTGTGTTTTTTTATGTCCATGCTTTATGTCTGATTTAATCTTTGATTTTTTGTTAGTTTTTTCGGTGAATACTTTGGAGTGTATTATGTATAGCTTGTTTTATGGCCAAATAAAACAATTGATATACACTCTAATCTGATTTATACACAGTAAGTTTTGTATTGTGTTTGTTAATCAGCAGTCTCAGCTCTGTAATTTCCTGCAGCTGAATTTCTATAGACAGAGTCTGAAGAGGCAGTAAGTCACAAATCAAACAGAATGATGAAATATGGCTGATGACTGATATCATCTATACAAATGACTCAGGGATTAACTGTTTGAAGTTAAAAGTCACTTCCTGTCTGTCGGCAACTCCCTAAACTGACTGTTTAATCAAATATTGGATTATGGCCTGGGATGTAGAAGAAAGAAGGTTTTAGTGGCACTGAGTTTACATTCAGCAATTACTCAAATTACACATGGTGAGTTTTTATAAGAGTGGTATATGTTAGACAGTCAGTATTGTTGAATTTGACAGGAAGAATTTAGTTAAAATAGGAAGTTGCCCATCAGAATTAAATATTTGACAGAGCTATCATTTGTAGAAAATATAACTTAGCAGATAAATGTGTGTGTAACATGTCAGGAAAAATAATATGAAAATGAAATTGATGTTTTTGTGGTGAGTCATACATTTCATTGCGAGAATGGGGTTGAAATGGAAGAATTTGGACTTGTGACATTCATATTTCTAAAATATTGACAATTAATGGTTTCAGGGTTCATCCTTTATTTGCTGAAGTGAATTTCACAAAAATATGAAAATTGAAAATATACAACATTACAACCCAAACCTTGGATTCAGGCATTTAGAAAACACAAGCTGATAGATGAGTATCATAAAGATTACTGAAATGAAATAAAGTGAAAGTTAGTGTTTAGTAGTCATGTAGTATCGATGTTTCTCCACCAGAGGGGGCTGATTATCTACTGAAAAACACACTGCCGTGACTCAGTGTCACGTCACACCCTCGATATAAACACATTCTCTGCATACTGAATACTTCAGTGACACTGAGGGGAGTTTCTATCTTACAGGAGGGAAAGTAAAAGTAATGCATATATTCCACTAAATATCAACACATTCTGGAAACAAATGTCCTGCTGTGAATCAAGAAAGTGCCAGAGGAAAGAGGCTGGTTTCTGCAGCAAGACTATGATCCTGAGCAGACCTCAACATCCACTATGAACATGAAGCCCTAACCTAAACACTGAAGATCTGTGGACAGATCTGAAAGAGAAGATACTGAAAATTCCTCATATATAGTGAAGTAATGTATGTAATGTATGTAGCATATATATATATATATATATATATATATATATATATATATATATATATATGTATATATATATGTATATATATATATATGTATATATACACACAAAAATAATACTAATGATACTAATAATTATATTCACTTTAATAGGCATGTGACCAGTTAGTGGAACTTGATTTTTAATTGAATTTATATTTATTATAATTTATTCTTTTTTAATATATTTATTATAAAAGATATGATATGTAGACAGACATGTAGGTTTCAGTTTCCATTAAGAGGGAAATCACAGAGCCTGACTCTAGTATTTAACTGGGAGGTGTTTGACCTTTGACCTCCAACCACGGGTGGTGTTGACTCCAGCTGAAGATGGAAGGAGACAGCTGACAGAGAGTTTGTCTCAGCTCCAGACGGACTCTGAGCTTTCTGTTCCCGACCGGCTGAACGACAACATCCTGCGACATGGACAACGCAGACAACCTGTTTCATCCCAGGTACGACCCACAAATCTGTGTTTCTGTGTTTCGTCTGATTTTTTCATGACTTTTCCACAAACTGACTCCCTTTTCTTTGCATGTCAAGTGAGATGAGTGTGCCAAAACTTTACAAACAGACGATAATCTCCTTGCAGAGAGCACTGCAAAGTTAAATTCCAAAATTAAATCTGTTTGGTGATTTAATTTTTTCATTTAAACCTCCACAGCTACATATGCTTCCTTTCTGTGTCCAAATCATTCTTAAAATATTACATTGTTGTAGATTGTTCTCCTTATTTAACATAAATAAAAGGGATTTTATGTTATTTTTTCTTTGCAAAACAGTTGAATTTACTTTGTTCAGACAGAAAAAAGCTGACTATCATACGTTACTTCAGTAAAATGCTTTATAAACTCAAAAATGACATGAATACGTTAGAAATTTGTAAAAATAAAATTTGGTGTTCTGAGTTTTGTCTTGTTATTTAATGATGAAATTTGTTGTTGTTTCCTTTCAATTCATATTCCTTATTATTTCATTTGGTGTCAATATTAAATATCAGTGTGTGCAGGCTTGTTTTACTATACTTATGGGGTCCAACAGCTTTGTGGGGACCCCACTAGTTCAAATGAAGGTTAAGACTTTAGGATTATGTCACATTTAGGTTGAGGTTAGGTATTCAATTGTGGTTGTCATGGTTACTGTAAGGGGCAAGGGAATGCATTATGTCAAGAATGTCAAGGATGGATCCCCACAAATATAGTACAACACTGACCTGTAAGTGTGTGTGAGTGTGTGTGTGTGTCATACCATTTCGTGTTATTTATAGCACGAGGTTTGACTGCAGCTGTTGCATCTCTTCCTACATTCAGTAGCTTATTCAGCAGCTGCTGCTCACGTGTGTGTGTGTGCTCGTCTTAATCACATTGTGAGGACATATGATCTTTTCACACACACACACACGCACACGCACACACACACACGCACACACATTGTGGGGACCCGACCACCATTTGGGGACAAAAAGCAAATCCCAACAAAATGAATTTAGAAATTTAGAGTTATTTAGGATATTACATTATACTTCACATATATTGACATGTTCACATTTGTCTGTGATTATGGTCAAAAATTTTATGCCATATGTGGTCAGGGACAAATTGTAAAATTTCAGTCGTGAACCCTCACCACTGTGAAAAGTATAATTCAAGATTTAGTTTCCAAAGGATGAACATAATCCAGATGTGATGTCTTCCTAAGTGACAAAAACATGTTTAGCATATGTGATTTTATGTGGTGCCATAGTGATGATGAGCTAGTTGGTTAAATGAGCTAACTGCTGGCAAATTTCTGAGCATTTTGATCTCAGGACTGTTAACTTTATTAATTTAAGAACCCATTTTTACATTTTTCCGATCACAAAGAAATCAAATAAATGGACTAAAATAGATTCTACAGAATAGAACATACCTGTGCAACATGACAAAGAAAATTTGCCTCTAATGGGTTTTGCTGTTTAAATATTGTGTGTGTCAGTGACAGTTGATTGGTTGAGTCTGTTTGTTTATGTAAATCTTAACCAGAGTTACAGCTACAGCTACAGGGTGCGTCAGTAGCTTTCTGTTTATCATTATGCAAATATCCTGGTTTCAATAAGCCTCTCTCTCTCTGTCTATGTGTGTGTGTGTGTCCTTTGATGGTATTAATATGTGCTTTTCTTTATCACAGATAACATCTATCGAAACTTCAGTGACAGCTCTTTCTATGCTTTCATGTCTCAGTCTCAGTTTGAGTGACATTCTCAGTTTCTTTTCATGTGGTTCAGCCAAAATCTCTTATCTTCAGTCCTGCGGTCGCCCCAATATACAACTGTCATCTCTCTTGTGAGGAGAAGTTTTTGATGTAGAAGTATTATCAACAAAATGTGAAACAAAAGTAACGACATAATCTCAAACAGCACCTTTCGTACTATTCCATAAACTTATTTATATTATTATCACTGATGCATTTATGTCTGGGCAGCATTTCAGTCGTAGCAGGTCAAGTTACAGATATTTGTAGCTTCTTTCTAAAAAGTTGGGAATGTTGAGTTTACAAAAACCTAAATATTTAATTACCTACATTTAATTGAATCCTGAATTTATTCTTATTTTGCAAGGCCTGTTTTTTTAAAATGTTTTTTTTAATGTTGAAGAAATGAGTGTCTGAAGCTTGAAACAAAAAAGAATAATGCAGGTAGTGGCTGAAGAATTAGCAAAAAAATGAAACAAGTTGATTACAATAAAAACATGTTGAAATAGTCCTAGTCCAAGTCTACAAGCAGCTTTTTCATGTTTTATAAGAAAACAAAACTTTAATATTAAGTATTTCACTCTAAAATGTAGTAGATTAGAAGTATAAAGTCGTAGAAAATGAAAAATACCTTGGTCATCAATATCATTAGACATGAGTGACCAAAATTCAAATTCAGGGCAACATCCAATGCCAACATCAGTTTGATGTATTACACGTTGATATTTTGTTGGTTTTAAGTTGTGTTGTTAAGTAAACAAAATCCATTGTCTTCCAGATGTCTCACGCCATATTTTCACATATAAAATACGGAAAATACAGAAAAGCCTAAACCAAAACCCAACATCTGCTAAACATCACATTGTCACTAAGCCAACATTGGGTTTTCATTTCCAACCAAACTTTAATGTCTTAATGACATTAGAGTCCAACGTCTGTCCGATGTTACATTGGCATCCAGTGCATGCTGGGTAAACCACCTCCACTTTTGCTCACTGTTGCTTTGTTTTCTCTTCCAAATATATTCATCTAACATGTTGAAACAAGACCCAAGAAACAAACAGAATTATTCTTTAATTTAAACACCTCAGAAAAATTACAATAAAATAAAATTAAAGTAAAGTTAAAATCAACAGAAAGATGGTTTAAATACCAAATTGAATTATTTTAAACCTATTTAAATAGTCTAATTTCTTCAGATAAAGTTGTTCATAATAGTTTTAATAATCATTTATAGGCTCCAGGTAAGCAGTTTATCATCATCCACCAATAGAGTCAAGGAAAACTCTTTGATGCCACTTTATAAACAAGAGCTGCTGAGTCTACCAGCCACCAGCTGTGTGGTTTAATCCACCTGTCAATCAGGTGAACAACAGGTAGAACTTTGAAGTGGATCGAGACATTTTATACTCTCTCCCTGTGTACGTGTGTGTACGTGTGTGTGTGTGTGTACATGTGTGTACGTGTGTGTGTGTGTACATGTGTGTGTGTGCATGTGATAGTGTGTGTGTGCACACTGCCCTCTGGCAATGGCAAAATCATTCACATCCTTTCCTCTAAGATATCATCTATATAAACGTTTTATTGGTGTCTTTATGACATCATTGCCTGTGTGATTTGCATCCTGTCAAACATGTCGGAGTCTGTCTATGTTTTTCAAACACAAACTGCAGTGTCATCATGAGCAAGTCACTCGTCACAAATGGTCAAAATATCTGTCGAGACTTCTTAAGACTTGACAAGTTTTCATTTCAGTTTGTTTCTGATTTGGGGCTTTCTATAGGAAAATGGACTGTCTCCATTTCTCGTGTTTCCTGCTGTTTTGCTGTCTAACTGCTGTTCGTTTGTCTCTGTCTTAGCCTGGCAGCGGCTCTAATGAAGCTTGATCCAGACGATGGCGAGCAGATCATGGAGTATTTTAAAACTCATGCCCTGCTGAGCAGAGAGAAAGCACGTAAGAGCAAATACAGGAGGGATAGGAGAGGGTTGATGTGCTGCCCTCTAGTGGAGAATATTATATGGACAAAGTTACAGACAAATTAAGGAAATAGTCAAATAATCTTAATGATTATAAATGAAAACTGATCAAGAATCATGAGCCAAATCATTTTAATCCAAGACCATGTCAAAAGCCAGAGAAACTTTAATTTAAGGCTCATGTATTTGTGACTGAATGAAAATCTGTGACAAAACCTCGAAAAGCAAAGTTTTGCTGACTTTACTGTGTGTGTGTGTCAGTCCTGCAGGCATCAGTGAGAGACCAGAAGAAGCTGCTGGTGGAAAACGCCAAACTGAAGAAAGACATCGAACAGCTGCGAAATCAACTGCAGGACAAACAAAGAAGACGCACTGGTAACAAGACAAAAAAACATTATTAAAGTTTTTTTGACTTTCTAACAACATATTCCCTTTACATAATAACCTCACTTTCTAAAACTACTGCTACTCTCCCAAAAAACACTTTTCCTACTTTCAAAAATGTTATTTTCAAATTATCCTCACTTCTCTAAAAATGTCCTCCCTTTAAGAAAATGTCCTCACTTTGCACAAATACTGTTATTTTATGTCCTCACAATGTCTGAAACTGAAGGTGGTCCCCACAAGAATACAAGTACAAACACACACACACATACACTGAGACAACTGTAAATGATTTTCTTTCCCCCTGAGCTGGTTCAGTGTCTGACTGTGGTCAGATTTAAATTACAGAAAACCAAAGGAGAATATTTACAGCGGAATTGTTTTTTTTAAATTTAATTTAATAAGAACTTTATTGAGTCAAAATCTTTAGGAGTTTTGTTCAAAAGATAAAACACAGCCAGATACATTAAAATAAATTCCTGCATTTATTTTCTGTCAAGACAACATCAGTTAAGAACAATCACATCTCTATCTGCTGTTCTCCCTCTCTCAGCCAGGGCCTTGCTCTCCCCGGCCCCGCCTCCTGCATCTCTTAGCTCCACCTCCACAACACCTGTCAATCAACCTGCCTCTCCTGCTGAAGCACTGGCTGCTGTTCCTACGAATCCTCATCCTCCCTCCACTTTCTCACAAGATCGGAGAGACAGACAGAGCAGGAGGAGGAGGGGTGACAAAAAAGGTGAGAGGAGGGTAAAGGGAGGAAGGAGGGTGGAAGGGGAAAGGAAAGAATTAACAAGGGAATAAAAAAGAGACAGTAAAAGCAAAGATGGAATGAAACTTATTTATACTTATTATAAACTCTTTCTCTCTCACAGCTCGTCCCAGTTCTGATCTTCTCTCTCTGGGGGCGGAGCCTCGGGTTGACGTGTCTCGTCTTGACCTGAGGGTTGGACGGATCCTGAGCGTCCGCCGCCACCCGCTGGCTGAGACAATGTCCATCCAGGAAGTGGACATGGGAGAAAACGCCCCCCGGACGGTCGTCAGCAAGCTGGGAGGGAAAATACACCTGGAGGAGGTAATACATGGTTTATTCTCCAATTATTATAAGTTAATAAATGCCAAGACTTTATTATCAAATTTCAACTTACTTTCGAAAATATAACAAAAAAAATGATATGACTTAAAATTATTGTGACATGAATTATTACAGCTTTTTTTATTCTTCAAATATACTGACTTTATTATTTCGAATTACAATTTTATTTTCAAAATATTACCATTTTATTTTCCAATTAATATGGCTATGAAATATTATCACTTTTTTCTGAAATATTACAAATTCATTTTCATAAACGTGTTACTTTATTTTCACATATTATAGCCTCATCCTCTGAATATTATGACCATATTTTCCATTTGACTTTTTTTTAACAAACTATTACAACTTTATTCTTCAAATATGACTTTTTTTTGCAAATGTTATTCCCAACATATTACAATCTTATATTCAAATACAACCTCTTTTGCCAAATATTAAGACTTCACTTTTAAAGTGTGACAAACTTATTCTCAAATAAGACTTACTTTTTACTATTAGAACCATATTCTCAAAATTATTACGACTTTTTCATGAAATAATCTGTCCTCTCTTCTTCTCTTTTTCTAATTAATTGTTTCTCTCATCTTTTTCCTTCTTCCTTGCTTTTATTTCTTCCCCTACCTTATCCTTCCCTCCTTCCTTACTCAAAACTTTTATATATATGTATAAATATGAAATATAATATTTCACCCCTCTCTCTCTGCAGCTCCAGGGTGGTCTAGTTGTGCTACTATGCAATGTAAAGGCCTGTAAGATGAGGGGCGTGGCCTCCCAGGCCCGCCTCCTCTGTTGCTCCACCTCTGACGACTGCATCGAACTACTCGCCGCACCCATGGGCTCCACACCTGGAGACAGAGTCACCTTCCTCAACTACCCTGGTAACCATGGTTACAACGATGAAATTCTAATAGAAAATGACAGAAAATGATAAATGCATAAAACAAAGTGAACGTCATCTCTCTGTCTCTGTGTGGTCAGGTGACCCAGACAGAGAGCTGCCGTCCAAGCAGAGGGTGTGGGAGCTTCTTCAGCCCGACCTCCAGGTGGACTCCAGGGGTGTGGCCAACTATAAAGGTTGTGGGTTCGAGGTGAAGGGGAAGGGGCTGTGCCGAGCCCCTTCCCTCACCAACTGCATCATCAGGTAGACCTAATGAGGGCCCCAACACACAGGGCAGGACGAGGTGAAGACATGTGCAGAGTACTTTTATTGTGAAAGGCCTGGTCTGCTGTGGCAAGGCAGCAGCAAAATTCAGCTATGGATGACTTAGCCAGTGTAGCAAATGTTACAAGCTAAGCTGTTAGCTAATGAACAGAAGAAAACATGTCTTTACAATTCTGTTGTTTATTGATTAAAAACACTTAAAACCACGATTGTCAGTTTCCTCAAGTGTTCTTGTTTACATTAGACATAAAGAAAGGGACGCCCATATTTGGTGGAATGTCAGTTGCAACTTCAGGTGACCAAAATTCAATATCAGAGTGAGACGTCTGTCCTGATGTTCAGAGCTCTGTGATGGTTCCTGGCTGAGAGGTGGAGCACTCGGTCTCTCAGCGGTCGTCCGCTGATTGACGGCCAATCGCAGCTGTTGTCCAAGAAGGAGACTCCACCCACCACCTTGCTGGCCAGAGTTCCCGGCCAATCAGTGGCCTCTGTTAGGTGGCCAGATGGGCGAAGACCCACCTTCTTCAGGTGGTCAGCTTCTGTGAGGATGAGTAAGGCGTGGTGGCGCCAATCTGGACCGAAGAGACTCTGAACACCAAGATGCACATTTAAAACACACAAAATCAGTACACACACAATGTCGAGGTGGTAGTATTGAGTTGTATTTATTCTGGTACTGGTACTTAAGTAACTCTTTTTAGTGACTGTACTTGTTGGCGTAGTTTCAATGCAGGCGACTTTTCACTTTTACATGAGTAGATTTTTATAGAAAAAACATTACTTTTACTTCCCTACATTTGGATACATCCATCACAATGCTTTAATTAATTAATTAATCATTATTATTATTATCATTATTATTATTTAAGGTATTCATGGACATTAAGAGGCTGATTCCAGGTCTGTTGGCACAATGCCAGTTTTGACCTCCAGAGGGAGCTAATGATATTAACCATTTAACTCCTCATGGTCATTCATGTAGCCTGACAGCAAATTCTGCACGTGTGTGTGTGTGTGTGTGTGTACCTCCACACACTGCTCCACATGTGTGTTTTCATGAGGCAGGTCAGTCCTCGCGACGAGCACAAGTACGTGCACGCCCTCAGTGCAGAGCTCGTGCACGGTCTGTGGGCATGGAGGCAGAGGGGGTGTGTCAATCACTCTCAACATGAGGTCAGACTCCGCCCCCTGTCGTCTGAAATACCGTGGGAAATTTCGGCTGAGGACTCGGTACTCTGTCGTCACGGAAACACCAGAAATGCAGGCACCTGTCTGGAATTCGTGTCCACCTGCCGAATATGCAAATTCATAAATAGAATTTTAACTTTTTGAATATCAAATAAATAAATAATTAATTTAGTCATAGATTTCATTTTTTTGTGTTAATCACATTAAATCTTTGGAATATAAAAATATTCATAATAATTCATATAAAGTTCAGATTACTCCTCTCATATTAAACAAATTTCTACTGACCAATCAGAGAATTCCCCACAGAACTTCTCCCACTTTGTCTGTCGCCTAGCAACAGCACATTCAAGGCCTGCACTTTCTGCTTGTCGCCGCTGTGTTGACGACTCCAGATACTAAGAATATTAACGAGGCTGTTTCCATGTTGACTGCGCTCACGGCCGTGATCCATCTAAGGATATGAGGGAATACATTTTATAAATAAATATTAATATTCAATATTTAACAGTATTTAGCGGGTGACTTCATACTGAATACATCACTTTAACATTACATTCATTTTTGTCATTATACAATTCCATTTATTCATTCAATTTTCAGTTTGGAATAAAAACTTAGTAAACTATTGCTTTAAATATGTATATTAAAAAAAAATCTATAATAGGAAATACTGATGCTTTATTCAGGTATTGGCCCCTTTGCTGATGTTTTAACCCATCATTTAGAAATGGAAAATACTGATCAAATTATAAAGTGAATCAGTGAATTTTCAGACTCAAAAACAACTTATAGTAGCACAATTTAACAATAATCCATAACTTTCTTTTTTGTTCAAATCATTTTCTATCACCACAGTCAGCAGTTTATAAAGAGGTGACTACCTCTGGAGTTAACCCAAAACTGATCTAAACCTGATTCTATAGGTGGATTATAATGAAATAAATACAACAGTTGATGCACCTGCTATAAAAAAGTTTAAGAATCAACTTTGTAATTGCGTTACACAAATCAAAATGCAAGTCTTACCTGCTTTATCGTAGCAGAGGAGGCAAGCGGAGACACATTTCCTGGACTAATTTCCATGGGGAGTTGTATGTGTGTGTGTTTTATGGTTACCAGTTAAATTATAACCAGTCCTTCCCATCTGTCTGTCGTTCTGTAGCTTTATCAAGTTGTAAAAGTGACAAACATCCGTGCAGTTTAGATTTAAAGGGACACATTAAAAGGGAAGTGTAGTGTGTGTGTGTGTGTGGAGGTCCATTTTTGCTTCTTAAAAAAAGTAGAAGCTAATAAACACTTTGCTTTGACCCTGTGATCAAACCTCAGTGTGAATGTGCATCAGCTCTGTCAGCGCTCTCTGTGTTAATAAAGTTTGAGTTAAAACTGCCCACACAGGCTGCTGCAGAGAGCAACATCATCATCTGTTCACAGTTTATCTGAAACCAGAGATAAAATAATCTGAAGCAGATATTATCATCATCAAGAGGCCACACACACACACACACACACACACACACACACACACACACACAAACTTGCCTTTATACACTTGTGGGCACCTGAGCAACGTTAAAACCAACTCACAACCTTCAAATGCTACTTTGAAATAGTGATGACAAAATGTCCTCACAATGTAGAAATGTCCTCATTATGCAGAAATGTCCTTACAGTGTGTTCATGTCCTCATAGTGTGGAAATGTCCTCACATGTCAGCTTCACCCCCACCACACACACACACAACTACATCATCACCGTCAACATGTGGATGTGTTTTCAGTCATTTCAGCATGTCCGTGAATGGCATGAAGTTATTTTTTGGTCTCAGATGTAATCCACAATCATCTGAAAACACAACAACAACTGGTGACTGAGAGCAGAAAGTATGCGCTAATGTACTTCACCTTCGTAATCATATTATCATTGGAAACAACAAGGAAGACTAAAATTGTGACATCAAGGAAACGGGGAAACACAGATGGCAAAGTGACGATAATGCAGATAAGTGTGTGTGTCACTGATATATACTGAACATGTATTAACAGGGAAGCTGGGGAACACGTACTGCAGAATGACACAAGCATGGAAAACATAGTGTGTGTGTGTGTGTGTGTGTGTGTGTGTTATCTTTATAACAACCATACCCAAACTCAGGACAGTGATGCCCAACAGCTATCAACCACAAAGAGGAAACACACATACGCATTCTCTCTTGTTGTCAGTGAGACTACAGAAGATCAAAATCAATTCTAGGAAGGTTTAGGGAAACACGAAAAAAATCCCCACACATGGTCAAACACATCAGCACGTACGAGTTTTGTCCTTCTTGTGAACTGTCCTCACGACGATTCAAATGTCTAAAATGACAAATGTTTACTGCAACAAGGAGAGAACAGTTTTTTTTTTGTTATTTACAACATTTTTTTCATCTGTGTCGTATAATTACATTTTGATATGTCAATGCATATAACGTAGGAAATGTAATATTTGTTGGTGCCACATTAATTCGTCTTTATGTTTTTATTGGACAGTTTAACAATAGCATTGCTTCTGTCGACTTTACACGTCACTTTTCAATTAAAATAAGTCATGATATTAAGAATGAAAGTCAAAAGCTGTGCTGGTGGTGTGAGCAAGAACACAATAGTACTCCTGGCGTCAGGAATTTGGACTCCTGAGTTCAATGAGCAAAGGTTGGACTTCGAAGTACGCAAATCTGAATTTGGCATATTCTGTATTATAAAACATTGTTCTTGCACTGCAGGGTAGCTAGTTAGCATTAGTATTGCAGGACAGTGTAAACATTAAAACATGTAAGACTGATTTATTCAACAAGCAACACAGAGGAGATTCATGGTTTATTTTTCAGCACTGTAAACAAGAAAGAAGATTTTGAGGCTCAGTTTGACAAACATCTCTCAGGTTTGGCTTGGATTGCCTCAGTTTAAACGTAACGTTAGCTCTGTCAACTCTAATTCATTATTATCCAGGAACAGCTCCCACACAAGGAACAGGGTTTTGTTTTTAAACATAGACTGTAAACCAACAAAGCAACATGGCCATTAGTTAGCTAGTGATATGCTCCTTGGCTCCCTGTAAGTAAGCTAGTTAGTGAGCATGCTAATGTTTACACATTACATTAGAGCAGATAAAAACACTTTCATCTATTTCTTACACTTTTGTGTTTTTCACACAAGCTAAAAAAAAAGTCAGGAAATTACAAATTACAAAACCTAATGGAACCTTGTAGTTGGTTTTAGGGGCAGCAATTAGGAAAGTCAGATTTTTCCAAGTTTCCCCATCAGGCGATAGGAGCAGGAATGTTCAGGGGTTAGAAAACATCTGAAGTGATTTGGGGAGTTAGGACAAAAGTTGTGGATCAGATCAGATAAAATGTTCATGTTGAAATTGATATCTCAGACCTCAGATGATTTTTAAAATTTTACATTTTTTATAACCTCTGTTCCATTAAACTGTTTTTTTTTTCATTACAAGATTAAGACAGAAATCATCTGTAAGCCGTCTGACATATATTTAAATCTGCAAACAGTTTAAATATCTGAGGTTGGGCTTTAACTCTGTGGTCATAAATAACTTCTATCTGCTCAGATGGGATCATTTCCCTGTGTCTTCCCAGGCCTGTGGGGACGTCTTTTCCTCTTTGTTAATCTTATCACCAGCCATCAGCTACTGGGAAAAACATTCACTGCTTGGTTTTCAGACACGTGTGGTCGGAACAGATGGAGGGCTCTCTGCCTCCGACATTCAATGTTAAATGCTCTATATTTTTGGGAAAATGGAAGCTGTAGGTCGACGTTGCATAGTTTGGTAATAAAGATTGGATACCTGGGGAAACAGCTCGTCTGGCTCTGACATCACCTCTAAAGCTAAAATATACTTAATTCACACACCTGAACATCACATATTTGCCTGAAGGGGCATATGACAACATATGACTATTCTTTACTATTCAAACAAGGCTCTCTACTGAACATAATAACAATCTGTAAATAAACGTGAAAAATGCTGAATTACAAGGAAAAGTTACTCCTTGTAATTCAGCATTTTTTCTAGTATTGCTATTTTTACATAAATAAAGAATCTGAATCGGCTGCTTCTTTTGGCCACATAGCGTAGCAACATAAATATCAATGTTCGTCCTACAAACCAGACGCACAGACATGTTGGAAATGACAAATGCTTTTAATCATAAACACCTGATGATTGAGTCACAGATTTGTCTAACGTTACAGAAGATTGCTTCTCTAAAGCAGTGGAAATAAACCCCCGAAATAAACTGGCAGAGTGACACATAAACAAATAATTACACCGACATTCATCCAAAATATACAGGAACAACTTATAGAAAAATAACTCTCACAATCAAAACAGTGCAAACCTCAGGCCTTAAACTTTGGGTGGGGAGGCAAAATGTCACACTTTAGGGAGTGAATATGGATTTAAAGGGTTTCCATGGACGCCCGGATCATGTTTCACTTTTCACCATCATCTTCCTCTAATTGAGTCAGAATCACAATTTCAACCTCAACATTTGTATGACTTTCTTATTGTGAATTGAGAAGATGGAAAACTGAATAAAATACAAATTTGAAGTGACTGAAATTGGTTATGTGAAGCACGTTAGTTATCTAACTCAAACTTGAACACCATCAACTTCTATCAGTGCAATTCAAGACTTTTGTATTAGAAACAGAATATGTTGAAACACTTCTGAAATTAGTGAAAGTAAAAGCACATTGTTTTCTATTGTCGTGAGGATAAAAATATGTTTTTATTTTCTAATTTCTAGTCATTTCTGCAGTGTGGTTTTTCAAAATAATAGCACGTAATTGATCCTCAAAGGAAAGGAAAACCACAACACACTCGCAGCAGGTTTTCAATATTAATGCTTTTTCCTGTCGGTGTAAATGGGGTCAAACTGGATTTTAAAGTGGTTTCAGTTCGTCTAGACACCCAGGAAGAAAACCAGATCTGAACCACAAAGAGTTTCACATCCGGCCGAGTTTGCGTGTGAATGCAGACTGACAGGAAGCTAATTAGCATCGAGATACTGGGACAGTTTTGAGGAGGGGGGAGGAAGGGAGGGTGTAAACAGGTATGGTTATTCACCCTTCCCGCCGTTTTCACTCTGTCTCGTTCTCTTTTTGTCTCTTGCCTCTCGCTCCCTCTGGGGTCGGTCATGGGCAAAGAGAGGGAGGTCTTTCCGTCCTCTCACCTCCCCTCCGTTGGTCTGTCTTTCTTTCCGTCCGTCCATCCTCAGTTTTTCTGACACACATGAAGTCTCGTTTTTGCCACTGCGGGCAACGACGACGACGGCTTCGCTGACGATGAAGACTTTGAAGACAGCAAAGATGTGTGAGGAGACGAGTGGCGAGATGAGGAAGAGGACGACGCAAACTTGGACTTCGCCGCCGCCGCAAGCAGAGATGATGATGATGATGATGACGAAGATGATGGTGATGAAGGCTGGGCGCCAGGCTCTCTCAGCGTTCGGCAGCTTAGCCCGTCCCCACACGGGCAGCGCTGGAACAGCTCCAGGCCGTGGTTCCCTTTCCGGCGGTGTCGCGTGCAAACCTGTCCCTCCCGCAACACGGGCTTGCAGATGCGAGTCCAGAAGTGACGGGCGCAGCACAAACTGTCCGAGCAGTCCAAGGAGCGCAGACAAGGATCCCCGACCTGACCTGGACACACAGAGACGGATGCAAAAACAGTTAATGATGTGTGAAGGAAGACAAACAAGAACCATGTGATCCTCTGCTGGGCCAATCAGGAGACAATAAGTCACTTTTGAAATGTGAAACAGGAAGTGTTTTATTTCCAAGACTTTTAAAATTGAACAAAAGAAAGTGGACAAACATTCACCTTTACCAGTCGTCCCTTTGGCATCCGTTCTTCCTCTTTTCCTCCATCCTTTCTTTTTAGACAGTGGACTCATCTCTGCGTCCGAGTCCGGGATCCTCTGAGACATAAAACTGTCGATGTCAGGAACACAGATATCTGAGGGCAAAAGAGAAGAACCATTGTTTTATTTATCATGAATGTTTCCATAGACTTTTCACAGCTGTCAAACACCTGCATGGTCACAAAAGATTTTTAGTTTAAATCATTAGATACTAAATCAGAATTATCAAATACATTAATGTTATATTTTAAGGCAAAACATTAAGTCATAATTTTGACCTATAATTCTGATATGCAGAAAGAAATATCTGTTTTTTCATTCCTAACATTTAATATTTTTTTGGGTAGAAATGGACTTCCATATTATTCTCATCTTGTCAGTTGTGTAAATGTATTATCTTTAGCTGCTGGTTAGTGACTGTTAGTTACACTCTTCACATTTAAAATTTTTTCCTATACAACCTATACCAACAATAATAATATTTAAACAATCAGACAACATTATAAAATAAAAAACATGCCATAATTTCAGACACAAGCTACACTGTATTTAAAGGCTAATCTTACTGTTACTGCAGTGGTTGCCTGGGCAACACATGCCGTTCCTGTGGCAACGCCTCTTCCTCCTGCGACAGGTCTGGCAACGGGAATGGGCGGGGCCTTTTGAGGGGGCGTGGCAATAGCTCCCCTCACTGCACTCCAGGTCGCTCATGCACTGGTAGAGCTGAAAGAGAGAGAGAGAGAGAGAGACACTGGTTTAGAACTGAACTTCAAACATTGTAACACTGTTGTCGATAAAGTTTAAAACATTGTAACAGATTTAAGCCTGTAGAATTCTGGGGCTTTATTTGAGTATTTCCATTTGATGATATGTTCTACTTCTAATCCATGACGTTTCTGAGGGAAACTTTTTACTTTACTTTTACAAACTGCATTTATTTGAAATTTAAAAAAATACAAAACATTGTTAATATGTTCCATTGTATGTTTTGAATTTGTTTGTTTTAAACTTTGATTTGGTATCACATAATCTTAAATATACATTTCCCCTCTAAACTTCTCATACGGCTTCATTTAAACAAACTTTTTTGAGGCTTGAACAAGTAAAATCCTCCTATATTTAAAACAGGCAAAGATCAGAGAAAAGTCTGAAAAATGATCAGATTTTATGTCAGAACTGTGTTGTTTCTTTCCTCTCCATTTATTGTCTGACGACCCCTCAGATTTACACAGTGACCTTTTGGACGGGTGCAAACCCTAGATTGGGAACCAGTGGACTAAAGTAGAAGCTGACTAAATTGATCTAATAATCTAAATATCAATAAATACTTTTAGTACGTTAGACTTTTACTTGCAGTATTTTTCACACTGGTACTTCCGCTTTAAAGTAAAGGATGCGAGTACTGCTTCCAACAGATGTAGTTTCTACTTACTGTCAGGTCCACACTCGGCTCCCACGTGCTACGGTTCACCGGCAGCGCGTGCCCCTCCCTCAGAATCACGGTCCTGATGGAGTTGAGCCGGACACGCGCCTCTCCGCCGCGGGAACACGCCAACAGCGCGAGCCCGAGGCTCACCATCAGCACCAACCGACGGCTCATGACTGCAGCTGGGAAATAAAACACACGTTAAATATGAAAACAACAACTCGCCACAACATGTCAGAGAGGGAAAACTCGTGTCTTTGTAACAGTAAATTAATAAATATCATATGGCTACATTTTTATTTTAAATGTCTGTATCATCTGAGTTGATGAAACTTTCGGATCTTTAACTTAAAATAAGTTGAAGAACAACCAGACACACTTTAAATCATGTTTTCTAAGCTCGTGTATCAGTGATGTAAACAGCAGAACTACCATGGAGAGCTGACAGCATTATTATTATTATTATTATTATTATTATCTCTTACCTGCTGGTCGCAGAGTCAAGTCCTTGTTCTCTGAAAGAAGATTTAAAAAAAATACCTAAAATTTAAGATAAACGGTCACAAATCCCGCTTTACTGCCGCTGTCGAGTAGGTAAGTAGTAAATCCAATGTCAGATTTTCTCTCGTTTCCAGAATGTCAGTAAAAGATAAAAGATGTTTTCTTTTTTTTAAAAAGTCAGAAATCAAAGCGGAGTTTGGCGCGAGGAAGATGCAGCTGTTCCTCTGCTGCTGTGTTGACAGGTGAAAATGAACCCGGATCCTGATCCACTTTATAGGCTGCTTCCATGCTGCCACGCGCGATCCCGGTCCGCCCACAGCCCCGGCCACGCGCCCCCCCCCGCCCCTCCCTCACCACACATCGATACCCGCCCTGCACCCCCACCCCCTCCTCCCTCTCACCTGCAGCCATCGATACAGGTAGAGACAGAGGGGGATAGACATATTTGTTTGTTTTAGCTTGTAGAGAGCAACAGGAAAAGTCCCATAAAAACAAACTATTTATTTAGACCTGAGTGTCATGTTTGAGAAAACAGAAACAGATTTTTAATATATGGAGGATTCGTAAAAAACATAGTTGAAACATTTAAATCAGCCTCTTGCAAAAAGCCTGCAGAGATGAGGAAACAAAGATCTGGTTTTTGATTGACCTGATTAAAGTTTTGTACATACACATATAGTAACTTAAACTCTGTAGAGGTAAACACAAATCCCATGAAATAAATATTTGTTTTCACTGGAATTATCACTATTTATTGTTTGATAAGATAAAAACAGAAACAGTATTTTTTAAGCATAGATAATGCACAAAATGGCTATTTTAAACATTAAAATTATCACTTGGAGAAAACCTAAAAGGTAAGGCAAGAAAAATACAGTTTTGTAAATAAAAACAACCTGAAACTATGACGCTATAATGTTTTTATGAGCAGTAATGGCAGAAGTATTCAAATCTTTTATATCTTTACTTTTACTTTTACTAAGTAAAAGTAGCAAAACAAAAGTGCACGAAAACTCTAAAAGCAATAAAGGTGCATTCAAAATATTTACTTTAAAGTAAAAATATAAACATATTAGAACCCAAAAAGTAAAAGTACACATCATGCAGTAAAATTGCCCATGTGACTAAACAGTATACTATTTTTACAGTATTTTACTGTAGTAGTTGGTTAAAGTGGAGATAGGATTTTTTTTCTTTATGTTCTGTTTTGTTTTCTAAAATGTGTCAAAACAGAAGCATAAATCAGCATAAAAGCCTCCACTGGTTTGGACTGGTGTCTCCTCTGGTCCCATCTGTGAGACGTGATGGAGGAAGTTCACAGTGAAGACAATCGCTGCATTCACAGATCAGTTTACCAATTGTTATCCTCACCTGGAGCCACCTCTCCCTTTCTGTCGTCTTTACCTGACTGCAAGACTTGAGCCGAGGTGGACGACAAACTCTGAACCCTGACTGGTTCAGTTCGGGCCTCCAACACGACTTTGAGGGATCTGGTTCTAGTTTGACATGTTTAATCTGAACCCGTCCTCTCATTGTCTTTGACTCTAATGTGGTGACACCACAACTGGACTCTCGAAGTTCACATCGGGTCCTGGTTTTGAAGATGCTCATCAGATGATTCTCACAGTATCCAGGTTTACGAGTTCTGATGTTTGTCTGTTTTGCATTTGTGTTATTTTCAGTAACTTGTTGTGGCTCGTTTCCACCAGTGATAGAAGAAGTGCTTTGAAGTGCTTGACAATGTAAAATACTCCATTACAAGTACAAGTCCTGCGTTTCAAATCCTACCTGTACACTCATGTTGAGACAAAACATTTGGGAATCACTGGTTTAATCTTTAGAGACATGATGCACTTTATAAACCGATCACTTTTTTTTAATGTTAAAATTTGTAATTAAAGAACTTTGCCTCCATCTTTGTGAACATGGTCAATAATGGATGAAATGCAGCTGAAATGAGGCTTCAGATCTCGGCTTTGTCATCAGGGGTCAGCTGGGTCAAGTCTTAAAGGATGTTGTTGTTTTCTGATTCCTCGTCAAGAGTTCGATGCTCACGTGTGTCTTGTCTGTTCAGTCCGTGGATGAACTGAAATGTCACAGCGACGGTGGGTGTGGTTTCAGGGGGAGTCACACACTAGTGTTAATGACGTGGGTAACGGGCCCAGTGCAGGTCTCAGGTTTTCTGACCTGTACCACAACAGAAACTGGTTTGGATGTCTTAATAAATAGACTTTATTGATCCTGGGAGGGAAATTGTGAAAGGAAAGCACTCTAGTGACTGGAGCCTAAATCCAATGCCTTAGACCACTTGGCCACGCTACCTCTGCACCATTGACCAATCGCTGCTGGGACCTTGGTACAGTTGCCACCGATGGCTAGTTTCATGGCTAAATAAATACAAAAGGAAAACTCTGTTGGTTTCACATATATACTGGGTAGAACAATATACGTAATACAAGTGTACAGAATGGACGGCAGCAGATCAGGGAAGGTAGTCCAGACGTCCTTCTCCTGAGCCATTCCCAGACCAGATGAGCTGTATGATCTCTGCAGGGTGCTCTGGGTCTATCCCGAGGTCTCCTACCAGATGGATGTACCCAGGAGACCTCCATCCAAACCACCTCAACTGGTTCCTTCCGTTGTGAAGGAGCAGTTTCCTCCAGGTGTCAGAGCTCCTCACCTGACAGAGGAAACTCATTTCAGTTGCCTGTATCCGTGATCTCGTTCTTTCGGTCACTACCTAAAACTCATGACCAGAGGTGAAAGTTGGAACTAAGATCTGCAAGAGCTTTGCGGTCCAGCTCAGCTTCCTCTTGACCACAAAAGTCCACCTGTCAATCTCCCGCTCCATCCGACCATCGACCAAGACACTTAAACTCCGTTCCAACCTGAGGAGACCAATCCGCCATTTTCTGGCGTTAACAGTTGCTCAAAAAAATAATAAGGTCCTTGAGGGTCTTAAGGTACTTACATATTACATAATAGCGTTTATATCACAATTTTCAGAACTATCTCAAGCGTGCTCCTTTTTGACTCCATCTACACTGTACAAAAGGTTATTTGGCCCAAATACTGAAAAACTGAAGCCCAGTTTTTTGTAATTCTCCAAATCGCTTGTGAAAACAAATCTTTACCGATCTGGATTCATTTGTTTTGGTGCGTGAAATTGGGTTACCAAAATTGGGTTACGTAAGTCTTACGTTCATAAAAATAGCACAACATGTGAGTGAAATAGTAGATAAATGTAAAATAAATGCCTAAAATGAAAAGTGTTGTCTGTCCTTCTACTTTAACCACACTTTAGAGGCCTTCTAGCTCCGGCTATGAGTCACATACAATCGAGAATATGAAATGTAAAGTGGAGAGTTGATAGATTCAAAATGCATTTAAACCATATACGTACGCTGTGTTCTCACAAAGATATTAATAAAAACATCTGTCGACCTCAGAGGGTTAAGTCGTATCTTACAGTGAATTTCAGCCCCTTGCAGACCTGGTACGACGACTGTACTTTTAGACAAAAACCAACACGGTCTCAGTCCGAAAGTCCCGAAGGTGGAGGTTTGGATACAGAACAGAGTTGATTTAGGTGGGACTCGTTTAGATGAAACTCGTTAGCATTCATCCTCTGGGGATCATGAATGAAAAATTTGGGCCAAACCATCCGACAGCTGTTGAGATGAACGTTACCACATGTGGCTGAAGACAGCGGGATGATTCACTGCCTGTAAGTGTTTCTTCGGAGGAGTTTTCCTCTAACATCATATGAAAATCACGTTCACACACGCACTGATTTTACATATCGGTCTATCTTGATGACAATTAAACTCGTGGCCTTTTATCGGTCACATTTAACCTTTCCTCACTCAGGAAACAGTGACACCTCCCCGTCTGTTTGTGTGTTTTAATTGTGACGATATGATCATCGATGGTAGATAAGATAAACACACACACACACACTGAAACCACACAAACAACAGTCAGTCATTATGGGATCATTCATTCACATAACACACACACACAGTTCACCACGAACATGCACACACACATTTGCCTTTAGATAAATTGTATTATGTCACCAGTATCACATTCACACCCCTCACACACCAATTTCCTTGAATGTTTTCCTTACATGTGTGTGTGTGTGTGTGTGTGTGTGTGTGTGTGTGATATCAGTTTATCTAAAGTGACTTCAATAGAAGAAAGGAAAAAGCCCTTTATTTAATCTCAGCTCAGGATACATGCGAGAAAAAGAGGAAGAAAAACAGTAAATCATTAAAAACACTAAAAATAAAATTTCTATAAAGTCACATAAAATATACTGTATATTAAATATGCAGTACAGAAGCAGAACCTTTAAACTGTTCTGTCCATCTGTGTGCAGATTGTGAGTGAATAATGTATCTGCTATGTAGGAATGAGTCCTAAAACCAGGAAATACGTTAGCACTTTAGCACGGCCGTTTCCTCGTCCAGAGGTCAACGACCTTTTGGTTTGATGACTCAAAACATTTTCAGGTTTTATTTTACAACATAAAGTACTTCAGTAAATACTCCAGTCCTGATTTTTTTCTCTTTTAACAAGCTATTTGTAAGTTTTGCTATTGCTACATAGCTAACGTTAGCATTAACAACTGTTTTCTTACCAGTCTGGACAAGAGCTTCAAGACAAGAGGTTATAACACGTCCTTAGAGCAGCTGCTTCTTCCGGACAGACTGGACGCTACAGTGACCCCGACCGGGGCTAGCTGGTTAGCATGCTAACTTCTGTAGAAGAAAAGAAGTGATAGAAATAGAAGCAAAACAAGAGGGTTGTTTTCCACCTCTGGAGACAGATGTTTGTGAGTAAACTAATGAGGTTTACTGTTGAACTCACAACGTTTCTTCTAGACTGGTGAGTAAACAGCTGCTAATGCTAATGCTAGCTACATAGCAACAGTAAAACTTACATATACCCCCTTTAAAAAAGGCTGGTTGCTAACAAGTGTCTCGTTGTGTTTATACTCACACTCTTGCAAAGAGATGCAACATCAGGAGAGGCAAACCAGGGTAATGTTTGGAGCCCCTAAGGGGACAAGGGGGCCCCTGAAGGCCCCTGGTTTTGGCATCTTTTGCAATGACAACTATGAATCTTCCTAAACCTCATATGAAGACATTTAAACATCAATACAACAAAGACTTTCATGAGAGGAAAGAAGATCAGAAACATCATCACAGGCTCAACACTGTCGACACAGAGAGACACATAACAATAAAACAATCTCTGTCCCTGGGAGGAAACTGAAACTAATACAACACACACACACACACACACACACACACACACACACACACACACACACACACACATATATAATTGGGTGCAGTATCGAGGCTTCTGGCTGTTTCATCAGTTTCATTCATTATTCTGAC